GAGCTTCTTATAGATTTACAATCATAAAATAGGAAAAATACTATAACGGTTTCTGTCTCGTACGGATAGAAAGAATATTTATCGTAAGTAGTTCTTCTAAAAAAAAAAAAAAAACAGTAACCTTCACATCTGAAATATGTTTTCAAATACTGATTTTGGCAATTTTCCAAAGGATTTAGGTGTTTAGATCAGTTATTTACTGATACAATCAGAAACATTTTTATTAGGTCACTTTAAGCGAGCAATGGTGAACCAGTGTGCCTGTTCCGCAACTTTTATCAACATTTTCGTTATCTTGAAACGTCGTCGTACGACGTTGTTCGACATGTAATGTGAAGACGTTAGAAAGTTACAGAATATGCCTACAGACGTCTAAAGTGAAGTAAAAGAAAAAAGACGTACGCGTCTATTGAAGGGTCAAGGGTTTATTCTAATAAAGGTTAATAAAGGTTAATTCCGACTGTCTGTCTAGAGAGCGGTCATGAATCTTTTGTTCTCGCGTGAACCAGAGACGTCGAAAATTAATTTCTTCCGGAAATTTCTTCCGCAACACTAAATAAGGAAGGAAGAGAGGAAATGAGATGTGCAATTTTAAAGCGTCGCTATTCTGTTAAATTTCGACTTTCCGCGTATAGAAGAGAAGTTCTCCCTCCAACAAATTTCATACAGTTTTAAAATGTTTACGTCCCATTTGTTTCACGTTTTTATTACGCGAATTGTAATGTCGCCCGCCGATTAGAGGCGTCCGGCGAACGAGACTCCGACTGAAAAGTCGGAGAACAAGCGTTAACGGCGAAATCTACGGTAAAAGAGTGCTAGGATTTACGGTCGAAAATAGCGAATCTATTTCTGACCAGCGATTTCCTCGCAGTCGATATCGTCGCTACGTGCAGATAATTACAAACGATTTGTGCCGGCGTGTTACTTAGCGAATTCACAATGCGACATTGCGCCCAGCATGAAAAATCTGGATGAAATTTCAATTTTAAAAAGATTTTTTCATGTCCAAAACAACGTGACGAATAGCACGGTCGAAGCTCTACATTTTTATTCATTTTTTCGAAAACAATTCGTAAAAATCTTCGATTTTTCGGTCCAAAAACTCGAAGTTCCCCTTAAAAAGCTCGTATCAGACCAGAGTTCGTAGATTGAGGATTGCGAATTGAAGATTGGAACTTCAATTGGAACAAGGAAAGCTCGTTGAATGGTCGAAATCTAATCTTCAACCCGCAATCCTCAATCTTCAATCCGTAGTGTGATACAGGCATAAGCGACGAGGATCCTTCTTCTCTCCCCTGGCCCGGAGCGTGCTTACAGGTCGAGGGAGCTTTCTCTCGTGTCCGTTTCGCCGGGACCGCGATACTCGCGGCGAGGCAGCCTTCGACGGGGACTACTAAATAGCGACTATTAGGATAATTTTATTGGCGAGCGTAGAATGCGTCGTGCACTTTTTCTCGCGACCCGCAATGAGCACGCCGCTTTTTCGGCTCGCTCGCGCGTCGAGCTGGGTCGCGTCGGGCTGTTGTCGGGTTCGGTTTCCCAGTTTTTCCGCGCATTCCTTGCGTAATGCGCTGTTGAAATCCGCGGCGCAAATCGGGCGCAGCGGCGCGAGCGCACGGGGAAAAAGCGCGAGCGCCGCGATTTCTTCACCGGCGCAAAACATTCAGCCGGACCGCGTGCGCGCGTCTGGTCGGTAAAAATGACCGGGTGTTGTACGGCTACCGTGCAGAATGCAGGTGTATTATCAGCCGCGCGAGGTGATACGAACGAAAGCTGTTCTGCGGCCGTGATGTAATTCGTTGATTGGAGTCGTTGAAAGCGAAAAGGAAAAAACGTGAAAAGAAACCGAATATATCACTGGGACGTTGCCAGGGCGTCATTTATATTCCACGAAACATTGAAAATTAAGCACATGCACATACACACACGCACGCACGCACGCACGCACGCACGCACGCACGCACGCACGCACGCGCGATAACAAAGAAGATCCATAACGCAGGGAAGAATTCGGGTATCATCGGGTTTGATATGATTCGGCGCGACATCGAGATTTCGTCGACAGTTTTTATTAATAGTTGCTTGTACAATTCTTTTATGTGCATGCATATGTATAGATCTGTCAGAATTGTAGAATCGGGAAATTTTGACATTTAACGTCTGAGATCATGAAATTCGGCGAGGAGAGAGAGAAAGAGAGAAAGAGATCACGTTCCGATTGGATATTTATTTATTCCATGCTTCTGATTAAGTTGATCCTAATCGGTTATCTGGTTTGTACAAAGCGATGTTATCGGGTCCTAACGATTAATAAGTTTCTACTAACTGAAAGAAAAAAATATCTAAAAAATAAAAAATATCGATTCTGTAAGTACTAATAACATACTTATGATAATACAAAAATATCTGTCAGACAACAAAATAAAAAGTTTCAGTTCGTGTAACTGAATGGAGTAACCAGACGAGAAACTCGTTAACAAGAAGTAATATTTTACTCTGACCGAAAGCACTTACTTGTACTTAAACTTGTCAGTGTACAGAAACCTTTCTGTATCTAGAACCGACTTTTTGTTTGGTTTCCAGGTAACAGAAAGTTTAACTGCACTAACGGAATCGTGTAACTCTCCGCGAAGAAAATATTTTCTCAAGGTCTTGGCTTTTCATAAGAGCAATTAGCAATTGCTATTTAGGAAAGAAGAAGCTAGATTTAAGTAAATGTGTTATATTAGCATGCAAGAAATATTTCTTTTTTAATTTTTGAATACTTTTTCTCTCAGTGAAATTATTAATAATCCTTATTGATAAGATCCTGATTGCTGTGTTACGCTACGTCGCATGACTTACCAGGAACCAATGACATCAGCTTGTACAAACCAGATAACTGATTGAGAGACTGATCAGGACTACGGGTTAAATTTCTAATCGGGGCGCCAAGTGTCGCGGTTTTTTTTTTTTTATATTCCTACAGCGTGCAGAGAACGTTCAAACTGCGGTTACGTAAATGTCGCATTGTGAATTCGCTAAGTAACACGCCGGCACAAATCGCTTGTAATTATCTGCACGTAGCGACGATATCGACTGCGCTGGTCAGAAATGGATTTGCTATTTTCGACCGTAAATCCTCGCACTCTTTTACCGTAGATTTCGCCGTTAACGCTTGTTCTGCGACTTTTCAGTCGGAGTCCCATTCGATTTCCGATAAAATGATGTAGACGGCATAACGGCTGTGCCGGAAGATAACATTACGTCGCGTTGATATTCGCGGTGAGATTACGCGAGATAACGAATATTTCTCCGCCACTTTCGTTTCTGTAGATGTGCGAATGTGTACACACACGCACACACACACACACACGAATATATGTATGCTTCGCCGCTCCTCTTTGAAGGCCAATGATCCGATTTTGTCCACGAGCTCGTTCTTTTTGAAGCTAAACACCCTCGTAACCCCCTTACGGTACGTTAGACTGCACTGCTCGCTCGCAAATCGGTTGGCAAGGCGCGCTTACGCCCTTTCGTGACAGACGATTATCGATCTCCCATCTGTTCTCTCTTATTACAACCGCTTGGGAAGCAGCGACCGTATCCGGCAAGTACACGTTCGATATATTTATAATTATGTTGCGTTGCGTAATCCGTCTCTTTGTTTGTGAAAAACGGTCGCGTTCTTGCGAAAAATAAAAGAGCGTCGAAAAACTCGTTCCCTCTTTTTTTCGAGTGCAACGATTGGGCTGACTTGCGCTTAAAGAAAGAAAGAAAAAGCATATCAGAATTACATGTACATTGATTCCTGAATACTTGATCGTGTCGAAAAACTTGTCTCTCTTTTTTGTAAGTGCAATAGGTGGGCTTATTTATGCTTAAAAAAAAGCGGAAGCATATCTTAACAGTTATATGTGAATTAATGTTCTGAATGCTCGATCGAAAAACTTGTCTTTTCTTTATGTAAACGCAACAATTGGATTTATTTATGCTTAAAAGAAAAATGTTTCAAAGAAAAAAGGAAATGTTTATTTATACTTAAAAGTAAAAAGCAAAAGTATACCTCCAAAAAAGCATATTTTAATTACATGTGAATTAATGTTCTGAATACTTAATCATCAGGGTCTCGACTTGTCTTTCCTTTACGTGTGCGGAACAATTGAATATATTTATACTTAAAAGAAAAATGCTTAAAAGAAAAAATGTATTTATGCTTAAAGGAAAAAAGCGGAAATATATTTCCATATTCATACGTAAATTAATATCACGAATCTCGATCGACAAGACGAATGTTCTGAATACTTGGTCGTCGAAGAACTTGCTCCTCCTTTGTGTAAGAGCAATAATTGGACTTATTTACGATGAAAGAGAAAATACGAAAGCATATCTTTACAATTACATGTAGTGTGCTGGATAATTGATGGCCAGAGGGTTGAAAAACCCGTTCTCCTTTTTTGCAAATATATAATAATTGGACTAAATTACGTTTAAAGAAAAAAAGAAAGAAAGTGAAAATATATCTTTATAATAGAGTTTTTATTTCGATTCATTTTTCAAAATTTTTGGTAGAAAAATTCTACGATTCTACAGTTGCTAGAAAGCAAGTCTAGTGACTCTTGTTTGAAGACACGGATTATAAGCAGATTATACATGAACGAATAAATGAACGGATTCAAAGTTAATAAGCAGATTCATATTCTCAAGAGCACGTATAAGAGCGCGATATTACTTTGTTATACAAAATTTTAAACGCATACATACTAAATACGTTTAAACGTGTAATATGGAGCTCCAGTTTATAGTTACGTGTAAATGATGCCTTGAATATCAGGGACCAGATTTTCGAAAATATCTCGCATGTATATCTCTTTAGTGAAAAGCTATAGTATACGTAACGTAAACTATAGTTTTTCATGAAACATCGTATGCGATATATTTTTGAGAATCAGGGCCCTGGTCGTCAGACACGGTACGTAGCAACGAACTTACAAGGCACATTACCATTTTGTTCTCCACAGATCTGTAACTGCAAGGGACACGAAATGAATCCGACGGGCACTGGATTCGATTGTAGCAAGCCGCACGAAAGAACACAGTACGACGTACACGAGTGCAAGAAAGGGACGTCACATCGCTCATTGGAGACGTTGCATCATCGTCTCTGAGAACCGTTCAGTCTCTGCGTCATATTTCAGATAATAAAACAGAAATAATCAATTCGGAGAGTATCTAGAGGCAAATAAAGCAGGTAGTACATCAGCCGGTATAACGACATTTTTTGAATAGTGAAGATGTTTTTTGCACTTGGTCACATGTAATAAATATTTATTATTTTCATCCCACCAGGAACAACGAAAAGAGTTGGTTTGAGAAAATAAGCTCCACCCAACGACGATCTTGCAATACGTACAATAGGTGAAAAATACGAGTAATTTATTCCACTGTAATTTCACCCCACCAGTCGTGGAGTTTCTTAAATAACGCTCGTGCGTTCGCAGATCTCTAAAATGGCCACGATGTCTAGTACCGAGTGCATGTCCATAAGGGAGTTCTACCGGGACCGGTCGATTTTTATAACTGGCGGCACCGGCTTCATGGGCAAGGTTTTGGTTGAGAAGCTGCTGCGATCGTGTCCGGACATCAAGAACATCTACCTGCTGATGAGACCTAAGAGAGGCCAGGGCGTGCAGCAGAGGCTGCAAGAACTGTTAGACGGGCCGGTGATGATCTTTCTCCGTTACATCGACAGTTTGTGTCTTCAAAGTGGAACTAAGGTTCACGTTTCTTTCGACAGCTGTTTGAGAAGTTACGGCGGGATTCCCCGGGCGAGCTCTCGAAGATCATTCCCGTGGCCGGCGACGTCACGGAGCCGGAGTTGGGCATCTCGGAGACCGATCAAAATATGTTGATACGATCCGTGTCGGTGGTCTTCCACTCGGCGGCCACCGTGAAATTCGACGAGGCTTTAAAACTCTCAGTCACCATAAACATGCTGGGCACCAAAAGATTGGTCCAGTTGTGCCGCCGGATGCACAACGTCGAGGTAAGGGAACGTATCTCCGCCGCAGACGTGCCTCCCGACGGCGGCCCGAACGAAGAAGTAGAGCCGCGTAGAGATACTTGCTTTGCAGTCGCAGATTCTAGATCGAACCCGACTAATCGGAGAAAGGGAGATGCATTATGTGTCGGAATCCCGTTTTGACGACTCTTCACGATAAGTTACAGCGAATGTTTCCTACGAATGGTCGTTACGCCTCCACCGCATCGAGAAACGCTCTCGAGAGTGCGCTTTCGAAATGCTTCGTTTGCTCGTTTGTTCGTGGCGTACATCATCGATTTTTAATTAGCCGACAGCTAGTCCCACAGTTTCCGCTTAATAGCGAAATGCGTTCGATTGGTCAAATTACTGCAAATGCCGAAGGTAAATAGAGCCGGCTTATATGCGAGTGTGTTTTGTCCTGTGCACCTTTACTATGTCGCGCGATTTATCGTCAAACGGCACTCACCGGTCGTTCGTTCGTTCGTTCGTTCGTTCGTTCGTTCGTTCGCTCGCTCGCTCGCTCGCTCGCTCGTCCGACCGACCGACCAATCCTTCTTCACGTTTTTATACGATCAAATATAGAGATATCAGCGCGCGAGTGCAGCGTAATATACATGTGTACACCTATGCAACTTTACACGTAGCTGTTACTAGGAGCGCACGACACGCTGATCGGCACACCGAGGCGAGAGACTCGAGTGTGTGTGTTCGCGAGCAATCGCAGTGTATTATCTTTCCTTCCGCGATGATGATAAAACCCATAGCGAAGGTAGCACTTTCGATTGCAGGCGTTCGTTCATGTGTCGACGGCGTATTGCAATTGCGACCGAGACGACGTCGCTGAGGAGATTTATCCTTTGGGCAAGGAACCCGAACAGGTGATCGCACTGACAAAGTGGATGGACGATAAAATGGTCGAGGATCTGACGCCAAGTCTAATTGCCGGCCGGCCAAACACGTACACGTTTACCAAAGCATTGACCGAACGAATGCTCCAGAGGGAGAAAGGCTCCTTACCGATGGCGATTGTCAGGCCGTCGATCGTGTTGTCGTCGTACAGAGAACCGGTCGCCGGCTGGGTGGACAATTGCAACGGACCTACGGGAATCATCGCTGCCGCCGGCAAGGGCTTCTTCAGGTATGATGCGCTGCCGATCGTTTCCGCTGCGTTTGGCTCTCGCAAACCCGCGAGTCGATTCTGAATATCGCCCAAGTCACTAAGCTCTCTCTCTCTCTCTTTGTAGGAACATGCTGTGCCATGAAAACATGGTGGCCGACTTGGTGCCGGTCGACATGGTAATCAATCTGATGATCTGCGCGGCATGGAAAACCGCGACTCATCGTTCCGACACGATCACCATCTACAACTGTTGCACCGGTCAGCAGAATCCAATCACGTGGAAGCAGTTCATCGACTTATCGTTCAAATACAGTCGGCTGCACCCGATGAACGATCTGATCTGGTATCCGGGCGGCCGTTGTCACTATTCCGTCATTCTGCATAAACTGTGCGTGACGCTCCAGCACACGCTACCAGCGCACATTTTAGATATCCTCGCCCGGCTCAAAGGCACGCGGCCCGTGATGGTCCGCCTGCAAACGAAACTCTACAAGGCCACCAAGTGCTTGCAATATTTCAGCACGCATCAGTGGAACTTCAGGGACGACAACGTGCGACAATTGGGTGAGCAACTCAGTCCAGAGGATCGAGAGATATTCATGTTCGACGTCAAGGAAATCGACTGGACGTCGTACTTGGAGCATTACATCCTGGGGATACGACAGTTCATCCTGAAAGAGAGTCCGGACACACTGCCAGCCGCCCGTTCACACATTACGAAGTAAGACGTCGCTTCTGTTTACCTTCTTCTTTTTTTCGATCAATGTAAGGCTAATAAGAGCCGACGCAAAGTGGTTAATGCACGTATAATATGTATATAATTAAAAAAAGTTTAATTTCACATGCATACAAAATCGTATTCAGTCGATCTGTGTTAACAAATCATAATTGTGTTGACATATCATAGCTATTTTCACATTTTTATAAATTCTATAAATATTATAAATACTATAAATTCGGAGTAGCTCTTGCTTTCTCGTTGTTGACTTATTTGGACTTTCTCTCACGTTTCTGGTGATTTGCGGACGAGTGACGTATTTCTGGCGAATTTTTTTATGTATATTTTATATTATTGGCATGATTACCACAGACGGACTACAAGACAACACCTCACAATTTATTATTGTGTCACATTTGTTATCACGATATGATTTTGCATGTTGTCTCTTAGAGGTATATTCTATTTTAATGACATTCTAATTTTTAATGACGTCGTTATGTATCATAGCGCAAGTTTTTTTGTATTATGAAATAACTGCGCAGCGATACATAACGACATCATTAAACGTTATAGAATAGGCCTCTTAGTACAGAATCTCGAACTTTAATAAAATTTTGTTTTTATGTTTGCGTTTATACATTTTATGTTGCGAACTTGCGCTAAAAATACACCGAAGAGGATGGAATAAACGGAACGTTTTCTTATCTTTTTTATGCATGTAAAATTAAAATTCTCTTAATTATATCTACATTATCGCATCGACAACTTCGCATCAGTTCTTATCGGTCTTGCAATTACATTGACTGAGTATCATTTCGCATAAATATATTTGTTCTTTTTTTCTTTCATTTTTCTTTCTTTTCGCTCTCTTTTTGTCTTTTGTGTCCTCTTTTCCCCCTCACTTTCATCATCATTCCGCCAAACTCATCGTTTCGATTATTGTCCGTTGCAGACTGTACTGGATTCACAGAGCTGTGCAATTCGGGATGCTGTTAATAATGCTGCGCGTCTTGTTGTTACGCAGTCCGGCGACGCGAGGGGCTTTCTTCTCGCTGCTGTCCATCGTACTTCGCATGTGCCGCATGATTGTTTGACGGCTCAGAACCATCCCGGTCGACGATCGCGATCAGTGTAACACGAAGCGGCCGCTACCTACGGAGCGTTATTTAAAGGTGCGATTTGTTCTTCGACCTCGTTGCTCAGTCACCCCGGTAAAGCGCTACCTTCACATCCATCGATTGGCCTTCTCGATGTTGCTATCCGTTAATGAGTAAGAGGTAAATGAGCGCCGGCTAACAGGTGTGGTACTCTCTCGAATAGGAGAGCGTAAGTTACCGATTCGGTTTAAACAGAATTCCGCAAGCGCATACTCTCTGAATTCCTCGGGGTGAAATTCTACTCGAGCAGTGAAATGATCGTCGAATCGCTCCAAGTTGAACGTCTTTTCATTTGTATAGAGTGGAGTTTCCATTCTGGATTATCGAGCGAATATTCTCGTTCGAAACTGAGGAGTAAATCTGACCCGTATTCCATCATTGTTAACGGGGACAAATCCACTTTAGTCGGCTGCAATATTCGCTCTATAGTTCGATCGAAATCCTCGCGATTTAAAGTGGCAGTATTTTTACTATCATACGAGCGAGAATACCGCCATCGAGTACGATTTCGCTCTGAGAAATTTAGAGAGCAAATAAAACGCCCCGACATACATTAACACACATACATATATATTACAATAATTGTCATTATTGTATTACCGAATGTTATATTTCTTGTTGTCCCGTGATGAAAAACGACCGTCTTGCGGAATCGATCGAGAGTTGTCGCAGCATCAAGTTCTATATATATTATATAGATATATATAGAAGCGCGATCTGATCGTCATTGCGTGTTTCACTACGCTAGAGAGTAAAGGTAAAGGCGCATCGCGCGTCGCCACAATTGTTCCGTTTAGCGTCATCGTATGTACATCGATACTTTGCACAACGTCAATTTCTAACAGATAGAAGCAGCCAGGTTGTCACAGTACGCGCGATCGACGTTGCTGATGCGAGCACCGATACGTTAGTCTAGCTAGTCGGTTTTCGGCATGTAACAACGCTCGCTAGTAACCACCATCCTCGCAGCACGACGCATCAAGAAGAATCCGTCGTGCCTTTATATTGTCGGTATCTGACATCCTTTTCTTTTTACTCTGTGACGTAAGATACCTAGATAGATATTTTGCTACGACCGCACGACGACTCGTAGTTATACGCGTACAGAGACGACAATTGCTAAGATTTAGAGATAAACACGTAGAGAGAAAGAGGAAGAAAGAGAGCAAAGAGAGAGAGAGAGAGAGAGAAGAAGAAGAGAAGGAAGAGGGAGAGAAGCCGCCGCGATCACGTAGAACGGTAACCATAATAGACACGTTAGCTTAGGACAAGTACGATAACCAAGTATATAGCGTTTTTTGACAACTGCCACTGCTACGCGAAAATTTTAGCCGTAAACGTGTCTTGTCCAGAACAACGAGAGCGGAACGGCGCGAAAAATCCCTTACAGACTTGTCTCGAAGAGCTGCGCTACGTTACAGACTACTTTAATGAAATATCTCTATGTATCTTACACGCGTAATCGTTGTCACAGGATCAGTGTTCGACGAATTTTGAAGGCATTGGCAAGCGGCTGTGACGAGTAGGGCGATCGATCGATCCATCGACCCGCTCCGCGGAGAGCGACGAGGATCGCGGAAACCAAAGTCGAAGAATTTCGAGTCGCCGAGAGATTCATGTACATATGAAAAAAGGAACTTCGCGTGCATATGCAAAAACAACTCATCGTGATCAATCGAGGCACGTGTTCGCGCGTGCACGACAATACAAGCGTGATTTCACGTTCCATTCTATGACATATCGTTAAAAGACACTGCAGGGGGACGCGCTGCGCTCTTGAATTTGCGAGTGAACGCGAGTCGTTGCCGATGCCTTTGAGATGACGATCATATTTATGCTTCGTATTATTTATTCAGCTGTTTTTGAGTAACGAATACTTCTTACGCGGCGGAATGATTTTATTATTTAACCAAAAAAAAAAAAGAAAAGAAAAAAAAGAACAACTCGGAGCGGGCTTCCCCTTATTATCGTTGTTTCACGGTCGTTAGAGCGCTGTCGGACTTCGGGAACGAGAGGGTAGACTCGAGAATAGACAAACGTGAGAGAGCGTGTCGCAGGAATATCCACGTTAAATTGACAACGCGAAGAAACGACAAATAATTCTAACTTTGCGCCATTAATGAAAGAGGGGTAGCGCTACGAAGGTCACCATCTGCTAGTCTCGTCTGTATTGTTACTCGGTCACACGCAGTGCATACAAAAACAATATTTAATATATAATTAATTTAATTAATATTATACTATGTGCTACTACAAATTACATTAAAAATGATGAACCATTATGAACGAGTGTTTTCAGTATCTTCCTCTTTGGTGTCCTTATGTCCAATCTCTTCACCTCCGGTTAACTTTATCTATCGGTTAAATGTCAACCGTGATTGATTAATTCTTGCCAAACAAATATGACTGGTCAATTCCAACAGAATAACTGGTAGATCAAGTTAACGGGAGGTGAAAAAATTAGGTATTAGATGATTTTATGACCGATTCTCTGACTTCATATTTATGACGGCGATGTCGCCAGTATGGCGTGTCGTTGAGCAGCTTTTCTACTATGTATTATAATACCTACGTGACGATAACATAATGATAATCATTGTCGTTGAAAATTAAGTTCCGACCTAACTGCCGTGGCGTAAGGACGTATTCAAATCTGTTCAAACGTAATCTGTAATTTTTGGGGAAAATATCTTGGAATTATTTCCAAAGAATATCAAAAATTGTTTACTAATCGAAAAATGGAATTGCTAAATTAATATAATATACATCTTTCAACGTTTAATGGCGTTTGGGTAGAGATCTTATTAAAGCGCCTGGAGTTATATATTGAAAGAGAAAGAGAGAGAGAGAGAGAGAGAGAGGGAAAGAGAGAAAAAATATAGATAGATAGATAGAGGGAGAGAGAGAATTGTTGAAAGTTACAGAATTGATTTATTGTAGGCCTGTTCTGTAACTTTTTAACGACAATGTCACTAACATAGTTGCATAGCTTTTCTAGCATGTATTATATCTATGCAACGATAACATAGCGAGAACGATTCTGTCGTTGAAAGTTAGTATCGACCTACTGGAGTGTAAGCGCGATATCAACGCTATTCTACTAGCATATACTAGTCTCACATGTTTTCGAAACATATGTGGGTCGTTAAAAAAATACGCGACAGAGATAGTGCGAATTTGGTCAAATCTTGACTACTAGAGCTATCCTTTATTAGATTAAGTATGACAGTATCGAATAATCTGTCGATTTTATCGCGCGCATTCCTGGAACTTGTGGAATATAACGTCGCGATTATGTAAACAATTTTTGCGACACTTTGCGTGTCAAAAGTGATTTACGAAGAGATACTTATTTGAATGGTTATATGAGTGTCGACCCAAGTAGAACAGAAAATTACGATGATGTCAAAATGTCGAAAAAATTATCGAGTTGTCATTAAAAAATAAGTTATTTAGTCGTTTTCTCGCGTCATTTTAATATCAATTTGATATCATCGTGAGTTTTTGTCTTGCCTGCGGTTTTAAAATATTCCAGTATTTTAAATATTCTTTCGCATAATGTTATCCTAAACGCGCGCGCGCGCGAATGATCGAAATTCTGCAGATATGTGTGATATGTTACACACACATATTGAAGCATTATTCATACTCATTTACTTCATATCTGTCAGGGAATCTGCGTAGTGTTTTATTTATTACTTGCCAGTTGTGTATCGAGCAAGAAACAAAATGTTACAACAATTTAGTGCCAATAAAACGTGTATGATGACACGTTTATATATACAAATATGCATACAAATGAGTGATCATAGTCCAATGAACTATTAATTAAGGAGAATTCATCTCTACAAATCAAGATCTGTTCCAATATGGTTGAAGTAATAAAAAGAATTATATCATCCAAGAATTACATCATGCAAAATAACCATTGACTAATAAGCACATAATGTGCAATGTTATTTCTGGATGAATAACGTTTATAGAAATAACACTGCACGTTATCTGAGTAGCGTTATGATGAATGATGCGAATGCGCAGTTTTATCTTCAGATCCGATCACGCGGCTTTAATATTTACCGTATCCGAAAGACGATATCGCAAGAACTATCATCTATCATCGCACAGGATGTGTTTTCTTGCGGATCAGATAATGTGCTCAGCTGTATCGTGCAACGTTCTCCACGTTCAAAATGAAGCAGCATATGTTAGGAGATCTCACGAAAGAGTCAAGATGCTAAGTACACAAGGAAGCTGAATAGAAATAAAAAAGCTACAAAAGAAATAAATTGAAGAATTCGTTCATTTCGTTCATCGCGACATATCGCGCCGTCGACAGTCAGCCTAACCCTAACCTAACCTAACCCTAAGCCGAGCTAACTGACCTAACCACACAAACGAACCGACGATTGCCGCCGCGCACTGTCGACCCTGTTCGATCGATCGGAATTGCGCGCGCGTCGCCGGCGCGATTCGAGTCGATAACTTCAGGTCGGTTAGTAGTGTGCCTGCATGAAAGAGAAAGAGTGCACGCGAGAGCGCGGAGGAGAGCGAGATGGCGACGCCGACGCAGCGCGCGCACGCGATAGCGCGACGCGACGGTCGACACACGGTACGGATAATATGCGTCGACGACCGGCGACGCCGTCGCACATGCGCGCCCCGACGCGCCCCTGTTCGTTCACCGATTTCGATTTTAGTCACTCCCGGGTTCGGCTTCGGAGAAAATCGCGCCCGCAAAACCGCGTGCCGCCGCGTAGTAGCCACGAGTGGGCCGCCACCCGAAATTCGTGCGAGCGCGATCTTCGCGATCTCACGAGCCTCTCGCGATCGGACACGCACCGGGCAGGGCGCCGAGGGTGGCGCGCCGACGATGATCCTCGTCTTGTGATTTTCAGCAAGTTATATCGTAACGGCACCGTAAGAAGAGGGAGACGCGAACAAAGAGGGAGAGAGAGGGAAAGAATAGCAATACAAGCGCGTTCTTCTCGTCGATTTCCACACACCGCGATCGCTATCGTTGCCATCGAATCACGGGAGATCGATCCGATCGCTGGTCCCTCGATTATCTCGACGATTAAAACGAGAGATACTCGAGAGGTAAGAATTCGCGCGACGATCGTGCCGCGACGCGACATGACGCTAAGTTGAGCCGAGCCGAGCTGCGTTGTCGCGAGACGGGCCGAGGATCGATCGGGAAGTAGTGCGTCGCGAATAACATAATCGTTCAGGAATCGCCGATGCCGCGAGGTAAAGAACATCGGCAACGCGTCGTCCACTCGCGAGAGCGAGTCTCGCCGTTCAGTAACGTCCACAACACACGTCATGTTGAATCGACGAGACCCGCTTCGACGACTAGCGTGGCTCGATATGTCGCGTGCTCTCGTCGTTGCTGTTTTATAGCCGGTCGCGGCAGCGGAGCTCCGCGAGGAACGGTCAACGCCGTGGCGTACGCGCGGACGGAGTGGGTTACGAGAAACGCGCGCAGAGAGAAAGAGAGAGAGAGAGTGTATGTCTCGTCTGTATGCGTGTGCACGAGTATGCGTGAGAGAGAAAGAGCGGGAACAAGCAAACGAGCGAGGCAGGCCGACGACACAGTCGGCATGCGAGGAGATCGTCTCCTCGAAGTCCACGGAAAACGATCACGCGCATTTCGCGTTGACACGCCGAGGAAATCGTGCGTCGTGCGTCTCCGCTGCCAAACCGCGCGGTCCCACGCACACGCGCGATGAAACGCGAGAGAGAGAGAGAGAGAGGAAAATAGACAAACAAAGAGAAGATCTGTTCTTTGTAGCTAGACTAGTCTGCACTTTCCTCGTTCAAAGCGAAAGGAAGTGCATAACCGAACGTTGGATGAAAAAGGAGCGGCGTTGCAGTGCAGCACTAGTGCACCTACAAAGGCAGGTTCTAGAATGAAAGGACAGAGAGAAAGAGAGAGAGAGAGAGAAAGAAAAAATGGCGCGTGTATGTACGCGCGTGCAGCGAAGCGAACCAGTGACGTAGCGAGTCGTGCGTATTCGTATTCTGTACTTGATACATTTAGAATATTACAGTATTCGCTTTGCTGCGCGTTAAGCGTGTGCTTCCTTTGGTGACGTCCGAGTAAAGAACGTAAACGAACGACACGAAATTCGTTGAATCTGGCCTACGTTACCTTGGGTACTTCTCTAACCTCGCTACGTTTTTGGAAAAGTGGTATCAGCTTTGAATGTAAACAAGATACACCTGAGACGACTGTAAATTTTCTCGTGAAATCATGGCGAACATGGATCATCCACCGGCAAAAATCAAACTCTTCGTCAATTCGCCGTCATCTCGGTACGAAATTTCATCGGGTATCATAATGGCTCTCTCTCCCCCTCTGTCTCGATGTCGTTTCAGCGGAGACGCGCGTTTCTATAAAAAGCGCCGACGATTATCGTCGTTTGGGCGATAAAGTATGTGCGCAGTGTCGTAGCCACGTGACGCCGGGCCCGCCGACGAAGCTCGCCCCTTTTTCCCACGTGGTGACGCGACGCGGTGGAAGGTGTTTTATTCTCGTGGCCGAAATTGCGTTACCGAAACGGTGGAATCGATAGCGGAGAGAGCGGGCGGCACTATTTATTTACTTTTTTACTTGCGCGCGCGCGCGGCATCATTTCATCGACATTCCTCTTAAAGTAGTATTTTGTGCCCCACAGACGATACCCAAGCTCGTGTCGAGATCCAATAGGAAACAAGCGCAGGATCGTCGTGACGGCGTCCACGGACGATATCAGGGAAGACATCGTGATGAAGCAGGAACCGGAAGATGAGGAAGATTGTTACTTCGACGAGGATTCGATGCCCGCGTCGTCGCCGCTGCCGCCGTCTGCACGCACACCGTCATCATCGTTACTACCGACGCAGTCGTCGTCCTCGTCATCATCGTCGCCGGGCAGACACGGCGTTACACACCGCGTGCGTTCCCACACAGGCAGCTTGCGCGCCATGGCAAATCCGAGCGCTGTCTGGGCGCATTTCGATCTGTGTACTAACGATCCACTGCGCGCACAGTGCCGTATTTGTGGGGCGGTTGTTGTCAGAGGAGGCGCGAATCCGCGTCAGTGCGGCACGACGAATCTGCATCGACATCTGCGAGTACATCACGGCGGCAGGTTGATTGGCAGACGATACCATGGTAATAATCGAGAGAAAGAGAGATTCGCGCATTTTACATAAAACTTTTGAATTTGGTAATTGAGATTGAGATGAAGTTTTGTTTTTGTCTTTTGTCTTTGAAGTTTTGTTTTACCATCTTTCATCGGTAAAGACGCCTGTAAATATGATTTATAAGTCTCCTGATTGACTTATAAGCGTATTTAGAGACACTTTTAATGATCGATGAGAGTTCAGTAAAAGGGTCTTCATATACACTCTGCTTGAGATGATATTTAGGGCCAATTCTTCAATAGTAATTCAAATTTAGATATAAATTTAAAGTCTGTTCTAATACATCACACACATCATTAGAGAACAGAATTTAAAATAAAATCTAAGTTTAACCTTTTATTTGGCAGACCCAAACAAACTTAAGGAGAAAAATGTTTGTTAAAATGAAGTAAAAATAATGTTTCCAGAATGCAATTATACTCAAAATTGTTTTGAAAATGTTTGTTTTTAAAATATCGATTTGAAAACTTATTTTTAACAATTTTTGTCATCTAGTATATCAAATCAAGCAGTAAAAATTAAATGTTCCAGAGCAACAGTACTAAATAAATGTATTCTGCATTTATCGTTCTTGCAAATAGCTCATGAGAAATTGATGTTGCTTGACAGCAATATTACCAAGTAAATAATTAAGCTATTCTTGAAAAATCAGAGGAATTGCTTCTTTGAATGCTTGGATAATTTTATTCACAGATATATATTTCCTTTAGTATTTGATCTCAAACAAACGCTTTCTGTAAATATACTTTGTAGATGTTATTGTAGCTATTTACTATTATTCTCTATCAGTGCAAAAGTTGGATTTGACTTTTTAGTTAAATTTAACTTTATTATAACCAATGGAAACATATTGTCCATCAAGCTGTCGTCATTGTCGTCGTTTATGAAACTAATCTATATTATTTTATATGATCCAACTTTTGATTTGAGCTGTAGAGTTATTCGATTTATTCATAATACCATTGTCTAGTGAGTACCTTGCACTCACGAACCTTGTTGGTCCTATTTTGCAGGTACCTACAGCATCAGGAATTGAAATTAACGAGATCGCACCTTTGTCTGTTCTAGTGATGCAGTCAACATCTCAAGGAAACTCGACTGCTAAAACCATAAGGATATCATCACAGTCCTTGGTGAGACCTCATTTTCGTAATATCGCGCCAGCATCATTGTCCCAGCAGCAGCAACCGCAACAACAGCAACAACAACAGCAACAACGACAAGAACAAAGACAATCAACGCGGCCAACAAAGACTCTTGTGTTGAAGACTATTCCGTTGAAAGTGAAGCAAGTCGCGCCTACGACCATCAAGATGCCACCGCGACAGAGCAATCCAGGATTACCTCACAACATTATACATCAACAACCCACGGAGGTATCTAGATTTCTTGTAAACGTTATATCTCTTCGTTACAAATGTACGAGTTGCGTAACAGTGCTTTACTAAGCTCACATTCTTCCACATTGTTTTAGGTTTGCTTGAGGTGGAATAGTTATCACAGTAACATGCAGAATAGCTTCCCTTCGCTGCTGGACGCAGAACAATTCGTCGATGTAACTTTAGCTTGCGAAGGACGGTCTCTAAAGTGCCACAAGATGATCTTGTCTTCTTGTAGCGATTATCTGGCGGACCTGCTACGGGAAAATCCGTGCCAGCATCCTATTATTCTAATGAAGGATCTGAAATTCTGGGAAGTGGAAGCACTGGTTAAATTCATGTATCGCGGAGAGGTCAATGTTGCTCATGATAAACTGCCACAGTTGTTGAATGCTGCTGAGGCATTGCAAGTGAAAGGATTAGCTGGTCCGACTTCATCCCAAGTAATTAATATAACTATATACTTGTAATTTACTGTTTAAGCATATAAGGGTCTGAACTGCAATTAATATGCGTTAATATTATTGCATATAAACTAATAATAGCATTTCAATATTGAAAAACATACTTTCAAACATATGTCAAATCTTTTAATCCATTTTGGACCTGTTTTAATAACACAACTAAACTAATCAGATTGCTGCAAAAGATTTTGGTCAGTTTTCTATTACATTTTCATAGGAAGGTTGAATATTAAAAGGAAAAGTCTTTATTAAGTGCCTAAAAAAATATCAAGTCAATATTGTCCATTTTATTCCTAAAACTTATTAGATCTTCAAAATTAAACAATTTCGTCTTCTATTTTGCTTAACAAGCACGACAAATCTTTTGCATCGATCTATATTTTATTAGTCTCTTTAGAGTTTGAAATGTTAATTTTGTATTTGTACTTGTATTTGCACTTACATCGTGTATCTTAGAATTGTTAATATTCATGATATCAAAATTTATTTGTATTTTTTTATCGACAGAGCACAAAGCCACCACTACTTATACCTCAGTCAAAGCCATTGTCGTCGCAATCTGTAGTTCCTAAAGTCATTACGGAATCCAAAGAGAATAAGGCATCACCTTCGGGAATATCTACGCCTTCTAGTCCTAAGCGCGCGCAGAAGCGACCACAGTCCGAAGCTCTAGAACCAAGGCCTTTTACCAAAATACGTTTACAACGGCCCGTCACGCCGACGTCGCCATGTCCAGTTGTGAAATTGGAGCCCCTGGATATACCTCTCAGTCCAGCTGAGTTATTCTCCGAAAACAACGAGGATGATGTCACACCGCCCTCGGACTTGGACAAACTTATGAATTTGCACGAAGAAGACGATCCAGGTGGCGAAGAGATCACCGACGAAGTCGGAAGATTACACTTTTGTGAACTGCCAGCTCCGCCGGATTTAAACGACAACGAGGACCAAATGGAGTTTGTACCTACCGATTTCCTGGAACAACAGCAAGAGGAAATTGTCGAAGAATCAGAAACGAGTTGTAATAAGGATGACAGTAGTAAAAAAGATTCTCTCGACTACACGTCTGCCGACAACGCTGAAGAAGACGACGTCGACGAAATCGACGGAGCTGATAGAACCGAGCACAGCGAAACACAGCCGTCGAAGAAGAAAGTGACATAGTAAGATATAGGATATTTTTAGATGTAACGATCGTGGATCTCGTATCGCGAATTTTAAGTGAAAACTGAAGTATAAGAGGTAATTGTGACTCGACTTCTCGACATTTTTACGCGAAGGTACGTATTCTTTATGGTGATGAGTGGCCGTACAAACACCATGAAACGTATGTGTGCGATTCTATTATTGTTAAAGTGCGTCTGCGTTATTTTCGTGAAAATAACGCAGATATTTTTCTTGTTTTGTTTTTTTTTTTATCTTTTAATGTATACGATATAAGAAAATTAGATATTATTGTAAAGATATGTGCAAATCGTTCTTGTCCATCAGGCATCATATATACCTTAACATTATAATTAAAATTACTTCATAGATATACAAATAGATTGAGCACTTTCACAAGAAATCGTGAAGTCTTGATTGAAATAATGATCTGTGCCACAGAGGATTAATCTTTAAAACTTTTATAATAAGACACAATTCTTTTTCTCTCCTCTCTTCTCTCCCTCTCTCTCTTTCTCTCTTTTTATATAATGTAAATATATATATACATATATATGTTTAAGTCTATACACGTAAGATTGAAAATCGTAGGAAATCTTAATAAATTGTACTTACATTGGTCTGCGCTTGAAAGAAAAATCTAATTCTGTGAGCGCAGTGGATAAATTACACTTGAATATTTATAATAACTGTTAAGGCATATATAATACCTGGTGACTCTGCCGTATGTTTATTTCGCGTAAACATGAAAGTTTCAGTTCCGTGAAAATGATAAAATCTAATCGAGAAGAATGATATATTAGTAACAGTAGCGATAGTTAAACTATATTGTTTCTATCACAATGTGAGGAGGAACTGAATTCTATTCATGCAGTTGTAAATATTGCGGATGAAGCACGAAGAGATTGTTATTTTTGGAATGTAAGTATACTCGAGAACACGTTTGTGCCGTTTTATTCAGTCTCGTCATCAATCAGATTTATAATGAAGGACTTTCTATTTTAGTGTACAGCATTTGACAAACCTTGAAAAAAGGTAAAATATGTTAGGAAATATCTCCGCTAGTCCAGCGCATCTTTTTTCAATGCGTATATATTTATTTCAATATCTTCTACGTGTGCTAACTTCCTATATACATATATATATATATGTATATGTACGATACGAGCATCCGATATAGAGACAAGGCATTTATAAGAATTAATAGTACTGTTCGATATTTTATCGAAGTACATGTTCGTTCAGTCGTAAGTGGATGCGATGAAGATTTTACTTTGTACAAGAAAAAAAAATTCGAATTTTAGACTCTAGAGTTGTCTTGTAACTTATTTCGTCTATAAAAGTTGTCGAGTGTATCGCACATTGATTAATTGCGGATTGTAATTATTTGTTGCATCAAACACGTAAACGAACGAGCGATATGTTCGTGTAAAGCTGTGCGTGATTGGGACATAAGTGTAAATTGTAATGTGTGAAGATACATCTCGAAATAAACAGATATTACAACATCTCGCTGCAAATATGTCGAGTGTTCAATGTATTCAATAATGTTATGCGTAAAGACTGGTTTACACCGAAAAAGTAGCAGCAACATTATTAACAGCAAAAAGTTAATAATAAGGTTGTTTTTTTTAGCAAAACCATGTTTTCTAAGATACGACTTACCGAATATTTTTTAAGTATACAAAGTATGTTTTTAACAACGTGGAAAGTACAAATGTCACCAACAAAGTTGGAAAGATTATTTACCATGATTAGACTGCTAATAGCAATGTTATTAACGAAAAAAAAAAACAGTGGAGTGTCCTACGCTCTCTGTGAAAATCGAATTAGAGAAAGTAATAGAAACGCGGTGATGAATTGCTTCCTTCAACACGAACTCGTGGAAGATGAAAATTTCTGATTAAAAAGCATTTGAAAGTGTTCATTTTTCACGAATTCACACTAAGAGATTCATGATCGTCTGCCTGAGGATCAATGATAAGACAAGAATAGAGCGATTGGACATCTGTCTTTTTCTAACTTACTGTTATTATAATTATCATTGGTACTATCATTGGAAGTACAATGGGCACGAACCAGGCGCATTTTATCGTTACCACCGCGAAAATGCGCCTAACGAACGTAGTAAAGGCGCACTTTGTTAGATGGCGCCTCGAAAATGCGCCTAGCTCTGGCCGTTAAAATCAAGCTGATGGCCGCTCTCAGGTTTTTCTCTGTAAATAGCAACGCCAGCTTTACATGTGACACACCAGGTGGCGCCAGGCAGCTCGCGTGCGTCCGCCCCTCCCGTCGCCGAGCTGTCAAATCGACGAGCGTTGTTTGTATACGAGATCGATCTCGGGGTTCGGCGTCGATCGCAACCCGAGGATCTCGATCGTGGATAGCCAGATTAGCCAGGTCAGGATACGATAGCGGTGCCGTGTTCCAGCTCGTCGTGGCGCGATGTTTCCCTCGCACTCAAAGTGGTTCTCTCGCTCGGGACGACCGGCGTCGCCCGCACTGTCTGCGTCACCGTGATCCCGGCGATCCTGTTTAGTCCACGGACCTCTCTGTCACATCCCTCAGGTGATCCGCACCTGCTCACCTGTCCTACTCGGTTCAGCCGAGCGAATGATTGTTCGGCTGTCGCGATCGACTGACGGCCGGGAGTCGAAAATTCTGCCCAGATAATCGCTCGCGCCTTCCTCCCTCTCCCTTTCGAAAGAGGAGGACCGCGTCGTCGTTGCGTCGCGAGTACTTCGTTCGCGTAAGGGCGCGCAAGGGCCGCGAGCGAGAGACCTGCTGCCCTCTTGTTTCCCTTAACCTATATTAAAGGATCAATGACTGAACGCTACCGTCGTACGCGCGAACGCACGTCTGGTACTTGGCGAGTCGCGACGGTGAGACGCGCGTCGGGCGAGTGAAGCCCTCCCCCCATCAACGCGTTCCGTTCGCGCGAACGATCGCGTCCGCGGGCGCGATTTTGCGTTTGCATGGGAAGAGCGAGCGCGGCGTCGGCGGGCCAGAACGCCGAGATTCGTTGAACTTTTCCCAGTGTCCGCGGTAGATAGGTGACGGACTAACGATTTTGCGATTGCAGGATGAGTCGTACTATGGATGAAAAAGAGGAATTGGTGAAGAAGGCCTTATTTAGTTTCGTTAGGAAGCATGTACCCACTGCTCAATTGAGGTACAGACTTCTTCCATCCTTGTTTCTTGAAAAGTGCTGTATTCTCTAAGATCTCTCAGTCAGTTCTCCTGGAACAGACATCTTGGGAAAACAGCTGGGATGACAGCAGCCAAATACACCATTGGATACTCCTTGATCATTCATCAATGATCTTGTTTCAGCTTAATAGATGACATTGTGCTCAGTTATGTAGTGAGTATGGTAGAAGAAAGCGCATTGGAGGAGAACCTGGATGTGGACGGTTTGTGCGAAATGGTATCAGCCTGCCTGCCAGAGTTCTCCACTATTGAGAAAGAGGCTGTGTCAAAGTGGCTGTTGGATGTGGAAAGTAAATTGAGGCAAGGGAGCAAGGAGAATGAGAACTGTCAACCACATGATCCCCTGAGCCACATCAGCTTGACCGCTCTCCTGCCAGCTGGTGCGCAAAGAATGCGAGTTCATCATCTTTCAGAAACCAGCGATGCAGGCAGTGACTCTAGTGGGGAATATTTTTCAGAGGTGAAGAGAATGTTAGATGGAGCATCAGTTTAGCAACTTCTGCTAACGACAATTCCCTCATACTGTTCTAGGAGTCCTCTTGGCATCAGGTAGCTCTGCTGCAAGAAATGTTCCCAGGTGCGAGTCCAGCCGAGGCCAGGCATTGTTTAGCAGTGGCTGGTGGTGATATAGCAAAAGCCGCGCAGCTCGCGCTGCATCGCCAAGAAGCGGGCCAGAGTATCGTGAGCAACCTCACTTTTTTAACGGTAGGTTGGTTGCGAACTCTTAGATCCGATTTCACCAACGTTGATCAAGCCTTAAACCGCGTTTAAACTACTTGAAAACTTAAACTCAGATCAAGACCCAATCGACGTTGGTGAAATCGGATCTTAAGGGCCGTCTGCAATGCAGTCGCGCGGTTACGTTTTAAAGTCGTAACATCTATCTGTGAATTGATCATGTATCTGTTTCCTTTTATAGATGAAATAAAATTTCATCAGAAAATGAAATGAAATTTAGTCACTGACGAGTTCAGTCAAACTTTTCACTTTTCACTAATTCACGCGAAGGAAATAGATGCACGATCGATTCACAGACTAGTATTGCGCCTTTAAAACGCAACCGCATTGTAGACGACCATTTAACATGTCCCTGATATTTTTCCCACATTCCACGTTCACGCATGTGTGTGTGTGTGTGTGTGTGTGTGTGTGTGTCGAGTCATCGTCGAGCCACGGTCTTGGTTGCTTCCAGCCCAACGGGCGCAACAAGGCGAGGGTAAACGACGAGGAGCTCAAGTCTCGCATCATAGCGCGGTACAGTTACGTCGACAGGGACGACGACTGCCGCGAACATCGCCCGGTCGCGCCCAAGACGGAGCCCAAGAAGCTAGTACGCTATCTTGACAATAAGATTGTAAGTGTGAAGGGCGAACGTTACACGGAAGTGCGAAGGGGCGGTGAGGACGAGGATGGTAACGAAGGTGGTAGGAAGAGAGGTCATTGCCGTCCGTAACCAGTCCCCTTGCCTCCACCCCCCGATCCACCCCCCTGGAGGCACTTGATTTTCAATTAAACCTAGATCTTTTCCATCTTACTTGTATAAGGGATATATAGGTGAAATATCGCGAATTTCAACAGGCATTACACTCTCCCCCTTACTTGACGTTTAATTTATATGTAATGCAGCTCGCGCGCGTTCCCTGGAATCTCTTTCACGTAGCGTTAATTTGCCATTCTTATTACAATGTGGCATTAGTAATAGTTTTGTACGTTTTATCCGTTGAGACGTGCGGTTTAAAGCTCCTGGCTCCTGGCTGGGAAACTCTTGATTGATCAAAAGTATACTAAGAATCCTTGTAAAATATATTAGGATAGAAAGATGTATTTATCAAATGATACTTGTAATCGATCAAACAGGTTCGTAAGAAGTCCGAACACTCACCCTTTGTTCGAACAATCGACAAATAGCCGTAAAATTAATGCGATATGCAACTTTGCTCTTTAACCTACCTTCTCTCATAATTTTGTCACGTTGATCTTACAGTTATTTATTTATTGTTAAAGTAAAAGGAAAGTGTTCGGACTACTTGCTCGATCGATCGCAAGTATTATTTTGTAAACATTTCGTTTTATTTCAACATATTTTATAAAAATTTTTGGCGTGTATTCTCTCGTTCCTCGCTGACGTCATAAATCAAGATAGCCACGGCAGGAAAGGGCCAGGAGCCTTAATGGATACCTGATATTTCAGTTCTGGATATAGATTATCCGATCGAGCATACAATGGCCGTCAAGTAGATGTCCAAGTCAGTATCCTGTTAGCTAGGACAGGCAGAATTACGCGAACGAAATAGCTAATATTATGTTTATATCAATCATTTATTAGTATTCATTAAGGACATACACTCTTATACAAAAAAAGGAGACTTGAGAGAAGCAACCTTTTTTCTCTTTTAGCGTTTTTAATATGAGAAATCGATAATTTTTTTTTACGATATTAAGGCATTTTGCCGGAGGAATATGTTTTCGTAAAATATTTATCAGAATCATCGTTATTTTACGTTATATCAAGATTCGACAAGAGCGTCGCGCATATGTACGTGATTTAGAGAACGTTTGTTTTGATTTGTTATGTAAAGATGTTTTACATAAATGTTTTATTATTTAAACAAGCTGGCTATTGTAAACTCGGCATTTGACTTAATATCCATTCCTCTTACTCTCTCTCTATCCTGATAATAGTCATATATTATTAAATCTCTTTCAGGTTTATTTATTTTATATACAGATATAAGAATACTCTATCTCACCATCTTTTCATTATGTATAGTGCTGAGTAGAGTTACATTTAGTAGCGTCATTATACTTTGTAAATGAAGATCGCTTTTAATCACAATCTTGTATACTTTTTAGAGAGTCCAATTGCTTAACCTGTGTAACATGTGAATCTTGCGGAGGATATTTTTTATTTTGCGCCTGCATTAAATAGTGGTGTGACTAGCGAGTGAGAAATGATTTATGAAAATATACCTGAGATGTATTTAGTTATATAGAGAGCAGCATTTGTCATCTAGCAGACTACACCTTTTTCAACCGCACCATATAGTGAACTGTACTATATATTTAGACGATAAAACGAAAATTTTTATCCGCACATTTATTCAGAAATTCAGAAATAATTGTTCCGTGGATTTAGTAAGTCGATATTATCTTTATAGCGTAAGATGTCAGAAGATATTGCCGCGAACAGACAGATAAACATGAGAAATAAAAAAAAAAAAAAACGAGTGATTACCGTTTGTCAAATAATCAAAAAAAAAAAAAAGAAAACACAAAAAAAGGAAAAATCGGACAGTTATATAGATTGTAAAAATACGATGCGACAAGTGCAGCCGTAGCACCGTACATTTGTGTGTCGAACGAATGCATACAAATGCATCGGCATCGCTGGCGACGATTACGAAAAATTGTAGATTTCAAATAATATATTGTAGTATACGTACTTATATATAGACGGCGAACGTGGAAATACCCATTAGATCCTTAGGCGGGACAAAGTCTGCTTGAAAGATACGCGCCATATGATTCACCAGTATTACTATTCTTATTGCTGCCGTCGCAGATTTCAAAGTGTAGTGCAAAAGTTAATCATTAAAGCGTTTAGAGAGACCATGTATAGAACGATATAAGCTCGATACTTATTTCAGAAACCATATCTCAACGACGCTTACGTTCAACTGTGGAATTGTGATTACTCCGTACGTTATCTATTACGTCCAGTCCAACACGATTCAGATTAAAGTGTCCGTTGACTCTTCCGTACACACACACACACACACACGTGTGTGTGTGTGTGTGTGTGTCGAGAGAACTACTTCTCCTCTCTTTGCTTTATAATATTATGAATACAGTTCTACAATAATCGCACTTTATCGTCCAAGGGGCGACTCCCTTCTTCGGAAAGAGGAACGTATGTAAAGTAGTTTATAAAATAATTTACTCAACAGCTGTGTCGGTCCAAACACTTGCGACTTCTCCGTCTCTTACGTTCCCTTGATTGTCTCTTCGGGTTCCTTTTGTCATTTCGGAATCTTGCATTGTTACTACAATCGTACGCAACCGTCGGTTTTTCCGCGACAATTGAACTCACTTCACGTGTAATGGGTGTAACACGATATGAATACAATGTATGTCTGAGCCTCGCCACAGACAATTGTAGATTACAGATCATGCCGTTACTGATAATCGTACTCGTTGTGAACACGCATTTGCTGAAAACTAAACGTTCTCCACTGCCGGGGGAGAGAAAGTCGGGGAGGAGATGAAATGAGCGGGAACGGAATTCGAAATGTGACCAAAGCAACGGTAAAAGTATCAATACCTGAGCATACACTCGATCCCGCACATTCATATTTTGGTCTTTAAATACGAACATTTGCACTTCCAACATAAAATATACAGGATGAGTCAAGAACTATTGCCACTTGGAATATCTTCGAAGCAAAAAGCAAAGGTGATCTTCAGATTTTCGGAAATTAGAGAACTTGGAAGAAAAGCACCATTCTGTTTTTCTTCCGAGTGGAATAACTTCACGATCTGAAAGTCAACCTTGCTTCTTACTTCAATGATATTCCAGATGGCAGATATAATTACCGACTCACCCTGTGTATACATATATTGCGTATATACATGTATTATATAATGACAGATGAAGTATTTGTATTCAAAGATCAAAACAACAAGAATATATTCAGGATCAGGCACTTGTCCGGGCAGTGATACGTTTACCTTAGCGGACAGTGGATTACTTTAGCTTTGCGCGAATCTTCCCTTCAGTGTTAGCTTTCGAGCGCACTCGGGCCATCAGTTTTCAACTTGTTAACCTGTGTGATGTGAAAGTTGTGTGAAAGTAAGCCGTAACGATTGTAATTATATATAATTGTATACTTGCCTTTTAATATATATATATATATATATACTCTAATTATTATGTTTAGATGACAATTAAAAGTACTGACAACATGGATTCTTTTTTTGTCAATCGGTTTATCAGCGATTAGCGACACGCGGCGTGTAAAATCGCGCAATGAGACTTCGGTTTCATGTTGCTTCCCATGATCGAAAGGCAAACAGTGAGAGAAAATCGCGACAAAGTGTATAATTATGATGTTCATCACGTGGCGATGCGGAGCTATTCGGGGCCTTAGAAGGACGATTCGAAGGAAAAATCGATATCATGATGCCTGATTTTTCAACTTGTACAACTTGTACAACTTGTTCGTAAGTGCTTGTATTTTCCGACCTTGTATTTGCACCGTATGCAAGAGAACGAAGTTTTATATCCGGCTCGTTAGTCCCGACATACCTCATCATTTTCCCCGCATAAACTTGTTAACGAAAATAATATAAATATTTTAGTCTAGCGCTTTCTTCATTTTCTAAGACCCGTCTATACGTCGACGCTCATCAAATGTTGGGCATTGATTAAGATTTTCTTTGACTGAATTAATCAGATCAGTCGTTAGAATTTTGCCGATTGATTTCCCGCTTATTTTAGTCAGAGAAAGTTTCATTAATTAATTTCGTTAATCAATCGATTAATACCCAACACTATATTCATTCCGTTATTTTCTGCTTTGCTTATCAATAATTGTGCAACAAACGTCAGGTATTGGTTGCCCTTGGTAGCCGCATGTTCCTCGCGATACACCTTTGCACGTAGCTATTGAAATATCATGTTTATTGACAAATTTTATATATCGATCATATATCGTATATTCTCGGCAATTTCGGCTAGTACTTTTAATATTTATAAAAGAAAAAAAAAGATTGAAAACTCACACACTAGAGACATCGTGTCTCGCTTTCAGTAATGGCGCGAATAAGATTAAATTCGATTAATCGAAGTATATGGGTGACACGGCGAACGAAATAAAATATCCCGCATTCGTGATAAGATTTATTTATTATCGAAAATTTCGAACTGTATCTTTTGCAGAACGAATTCTTTCGTGTGTATGTGTGTGTGTGCGCTTGTGTGCATACGTGTGTAAACTTAAATATCAAAATGATCTAAGTAATACATCTTTAGGAGAAGCGTTTGGATTTGATACTCGATTAAGGCGCTAGCCGAATTCTGAGATAAGATTTCCAAAAAGTAGAAATATATTTACCGTTATCTCAATATTCCCGCGCAATTCTCGCGAGTAATTTCTCAAATAAAATATTCGTTTAGATATAATATCTATGCTCGCTTGATAGCGAGCATATACTTGCCAATTATATGCCGTAGCAACAAAACATCTCCCGACATTTTTTCCGCCAATAAATCGAATGTTATAACACACGACATAATTATATGAGCCGCATTATTATAAACTAGCGTAAGTTTCGAACAGGAATCATTCTTCTCACCCTATCTGGGACGCTAAGAATAAGTAACGCACGAAATATATTCGGTAATACGTAATCCTAAGGTTCGTCCAATCGAATAAGAAGTAAAAGAAGATTTTCGATCGATGATGAAACAACTTACACGGCTCGTTAGATCCGAAGAAATAAATAGCATCCTCTCTGTCTCTCTATTACGTCTCATATCCTGGCATCCATCAACACTGAGCATACGGGGAAAAAAGCACTCGCAATGACTGTAATTCTATCCACGCCCGTTGGGAAATGCTAAAAGTCTAGTCGACGTTCCTGCGGCACTAAGCGAGATCTAGCTTGAATCTACTCACGCCCGACACATTACACAGATACGTATTTCTACGAGCTGATAAATTACCTATAACAATTCGTCATTACAAACATGTGAAATCGTTCGTTGGACCTTAACGAATTCGGCGACAATTGTCCAAAAAACGTGGTGAGACGTGCTATGCTCCGTAAAATAAGAGGCCCTTAGTCTCGACTCCTTTACCTAATAAGTGTCCCTAAAGACCGGTTGTTTTAACTTCTTAGTAAATTAACTGTTGGTTAAATCATGTCTTGTCTAAATTGAAGGGAAAATAAAGATAGACATGATTTAACTATCATTTAACTTACTAAGAAGTTGGAATCGGCCCTAAATGTGTGACTCATAAACCTTTTGGTTGACTAATGAGCACATCTAGAGGGACACTTTTATCGGTGAAAGAAAGCTCAGAATAAGGGCCGATGTCAAAATTCGGGTGCAGCGACACAATCCCCGAAAAGTCATAATATCGAAATCTGTGCATACATATCGAGGCAATATCCTAAAATATAATTTTCCTAAGAAAGAACAATCACCACGAAAACAATGCGTACAACAGGTGCTACAATATCTACTTATTTTGATACATTCTTGCTGTATCCAAATAAGCAGACATCGATACACTCGGTAGTATAATGACACAATTATAATATTTTGACAATTTTAATTTTGATAAAATGACGGAAAAATTTCAAGACATTATCGATATTCGGGTTTCGATATTGTGTATTTATAATGCAATTGCACTTTTTACATTTTGATAGCTTCTTTTCCAAAGCAATACACGTTCACCAAAAATATGTGTATGTGTGCCTCATTACGATGAAATATGAAATAGGTGGGAGTCATGGAGTCGGTGTTTACAAAATCGATGCGCTCGAGAGGAGTAAATTGTAAATATAGAAAAAAGCGTTCTCTTTCTCGCTCTCTCTCTCGTGATGGATACCTATGATCCATATTTCAGTCGTAAAGGAGTCGCGTCTGCGGAGTGATCAAAGAGAGTCTTAAAAAAGAAGAGTAGAAGAGTCCGGCGAGGAGGTCGCGCTAACGACGATTTACTTCTTCTTTTTCCGTGGTTTGTCCTGAGGCGCCGGCAGATTCTCCTGCTTCCGCTTCGACGTCGGCTTCGTACCTATGCTGCCGCCCTTCTTTCTCCTCTCTTGCCTCTCACGCTCCTCCAGCTCCTGGTTCTCGCGCTCGATCAGGGTGATCAAGGTGTTGCAGCGGCGCTGCAACTCGAGTGCGGTGCGGGATTTGACGAACCAGTCGAATCGAAACTGCGGCGCCGACCTCACCGTGGCGCGCAGCTCCTCGTACACGTTCTCCTTGTCGAAGCCGAGCTTGTGCAGCATGCAGACGAGGAACCGATCCTCCTCCTCGGTGTAGTTCTTGCCCTTGTTCGTGCCGTACGCTATCCTGAGTTGGTGGAAAGGCGCGCGGTATCGGGCCATTTTGGCGTCCAACGCCTTCTTGATACCGGCGCGCCTCTGTATCTTCGCCTCTCCGCGCTCGATCTGCGCCATCACGCGATCTATATCCTGTAGCTCATGACAACGTTCCCAGAAGACGGCCGAGTATTCCATCACCTCCTCCGGGGTTTTTCCCTCGACTTCCTTGGCGATATTCTCGATATCGTCGCGACCGTATTTTTCGTTCGCCTTGATGAACTGATTGAAGTCCCGCTTGGTCCAGTTGGTAAAGCCCTGAAGAAGCAGCTTCTCCTTCTCGGCGACCTCCTCGTCGGTGAGCGGCTGGGCGTCGTCGATCTTGCGCTGCTCGTCCTTCTGGATCCGGGCAGCGTCTGAACCTAATTCAGGGTTCTTGGGGACCTTGTAGCCGACCGTTTGCCTGAAATAATAAATTTCCTGGTCCAAGAGTTCGAACAAGCGCGGCGGGAAGAATTGGAAGTCCTGAACTATTGGCTGCTTCGGAGGCCTTGGAGCTTTCGGTGCCTTTGGCTCTGACACGCGCAGCGCTTCGCGGAAGTAAGCGTCGACCGCGTAATTGGCTTTGCGCTCGCGCTTAGGCGGCTCGATCCAGTTGCCCAGGCCAAGTATCTTCTGCTTCTCGCGGTAATCCTCGCCCTCGAATTGATACACCGAGTCCGTGGGCGCGTCGACCGTGAAGTTGCGCAACGAAGACTCGCCTAAGCTCTCGAGTTTCTGCTTCATCTCCTCAGTCTTAGCCTCGCCTTTCTGCAATATCGTGTCAATGTCTTCGTCCGTGATGGCGCTGTCCTTGGAGGCGAACACCTCGTTCGCGCCGTGCCTAATCATATTCAACATCTCGTCCTTGTTCAAGGCCGTCTGCTTCGCGTCCACCAGCCGGCCCTGCTGGATAACCAGCTTGTCCAGCCGCAGCTTCACCTCAGCCCGCTCGACGATCTTTTCCTCTACCGTGTTCTCCGTAATGAACCTGAAGACCCGCACTTGCTTTTGCTGGCCGATACGGTGCGCGCGGTCCATTGCCTGCAGGTCCATCTGCGGATTCCAGTCGGAATCGTAGATGATGACAACATCTGCGGTCGCCAGATTGATGCCCAGGCCGCCCGCGCGAGTCGACAGCATGAAGATGAACTTCTCGCTGCCGGGTGCGTTGTACTCGTTGATCTGCCGTTGTCGATCCTCGTGAGCGGTGTTGCCGTCCAGCCGACAATACTGGAACGTTCGCCAGTGGCAGTAGTCCTCCAGGATGTCGAGCATTCTCGTCATTTGGCTGAATATTAGAACTCGAGACTCCTGCTGCTGCAGCTTTGGCAACAGCTTGTCGAGTATCACCATCTTGCCGCAGTTGTACACGAGGTGCTCGTCGGTGGTGTACGGCGGCCCCGGCTCGGCGCCGTCGAACAGGTACGGGTGATTGCAGCACTTACGTAGCTGCATCAAAATGTTCTGCAGCCTCATCTTCTCTATCTTACCCGCGCCGTTCACGATATCAATGTCTTTCATCAGCACCTTGGTATACCACTCCCTCTGCATCTTGCTCAGGCCGATGTATACTTTGATCTCCTTCTTGGGTTTGAGCCCCTTTTCCACCTCAGATTTCAGCCGTCTCAGCAGGAATGGTCTCAGCACAGCGTGCAGTCTCTCCACCAGAGAATTGTCGCCCAGGAAGCTGTTTGTGTTGAACCACGAGTCAAAGTCATCTGAACTGTTGAAAACATCTGGAAGAAGGAAATTCAGGAGGGACCACAGTTCGTGGAGATTGTTCTGTAAGGGAGTACCGGTCAGCAAAAGTCGATTGGCAGTTTTGAACTCTCTCAAGATCTCTGATAACTTTGACTTCTCGTTCTTGATTCTGTGTGCCTCATCTATCACCATGTAACGCCAGTTAAACTTCTTGAACACCGATTTCTCTTTGATCACCATCTCATAGGACGTCACACACACATCCCATTCGCCAGGCATCATAACGTCTCTGATAAAAGTGTTTCTGGTTTCTGCGTCACCAATCAGGCAGACTGCCCTCAGGGTGGGACACCACTTCTTGAATTCGTTCATCCAGTTGGCTAACGTAGACTTTGGCACGATAACAATATGAGGGCCAGGAATGCTTCGAAAGTGTTTCATATAGCCTAACAGGGAGATGGTTTGCAGAGTTTTGCCGAGGCCCATCTCGTCCGCTAGGATGCCGTTTATGCCGTTCTCGTAGAGCGATATCATCCAATTTAGGCCGCGTATCTGGTAGTCCCGCAGCTCACCCGACTTGATGTAGTGCGGCGACGACTCGAAACGCGTGGTGGGCGCCACGCTAGCGTTGCTCTCCGCCAACAGTTCCTCATCCTCCTCTTGCTCGGTCTTACGGTGCCTATGATCGCCGGAATCCGACTTGGGATTCTCCGGTTGTTTCCGCGGCCTGCCGGCTTTAACCTTCAGGGGACTGCCGGCCTTGTCCTTCTGGTTGTTTGTCATAAAGTGCGAGAATATCTCAGTCTGTTTCAACAGATAGTCGAATCGCTTGCTGCGATCCGTCTCCAGCTTCGTCTCGAAATCGCCGCCTCTCGACGACGTGGTCTCCGCCGAGGAGCCGTTAGAGTTGTCCCCCGTGTCACCGGTGTCTGCATTCTCGTCCGGCTTGGACATTTTGATGATTTTCGCGCACCTTTGTCTAAGCCGAACCTTCACTGATCGATTGCGTCCACCTTACGGTAATTTAGCGTCGATTATTGTCCCGCTGCCAGGCACGCTAGGAACGCACCTCACGCGCCGCATCAAACACCGCTCCGTACCGCCATATTGTGCTAATGGCGCTATATGTTGCGATGCCGCGCGGTGGCGCCAAAGTTTTCGCGTTCACCGCTACGCGCGGTATGGTAATGCAGGATTCACATACACTACGGCCGGTATTTATAGGCCTGGTTTACATCGTGCAACAATGGTAAACAACAGTACTTTAAGCCGATATAATACTGATCAAGAAGACGTACTGTATCGATTGAATGCGTCGTTGATGATATGCATTGTCAATATTAAAATTATTTAATAGAAAGTTACTATTTAGTACGCGTATTAAGTGCACGATGTAAACCAAGCCAAAGTGCATCCAGTACTATAAGCATTCAGTGAGTATTTGATTGGTATATATTTTTAGATCTAAAGGAATGTGCCAATCGGATACAAGAGCTCACTGAGCGGTGTAGATTGGGGTACGTTCAGCGAACTCAACAATTGCACACAGTTGAGCAATTCGTCAATGTAATTGATCTAGATTTAGGGATCTAATGGCTCTTGCACACAGGACGCGATAATGCTTGCCGCGCGGCGGAAGTCCACGCGACAACCAATCAATATGTTATTTTTGCGTAAGAGCTAGAAAGTTATTACGGAAAGCAGCATATTGATTGGCTGTCGCGCGACGGAAACGTATGATGACACGTATCCAATCATAGAGTTTCTCTGCTAAAGTTTCTAGCTAGCACATTTTTATCTCCAGAAAATCAATTTTCCATTGGATATCGAATGTCATATGTCGGATATCGATTGTGAATCCTCCATAAGTCCCGATCTACAAGGTGTAGTAAGCTTTAAGTCTTAAGAAATTGACTAATCAAATGATCTGTTCTTTTCGGCTGCACTGCTGAACTGATGCAATAAGTTATAGCATATTCGAATAGCTCTGGGTTAATCCATTCTGAGTTATTCAGCTTACGTTTATAACGTAGGTTATTAGGGAGGGTCCCGATTGCCGACAGTACGATTGACCACAAATTGTAATGATTGGTTCGATCTGGTAATTCACTAGATAATTCTTATCATCGATTGGTTTGTGTGCAATCGTACTGTAGGCAATCGAGACGCTCCCGGTTATTACGATTGAACAAGTACTTAAGCTTTATGATTGGCTAGTAGAGACTTATGACGTCATTAATCACTCTCGGAACGATTAACTCAGGACCAGTCGAACACGCTATTAGAGTGAGAAAAAATTTACTTGTCTCACTCTAACTTATTGCACCAGTTCAGCAGTGCCGAAAAGAACAGACCAATAGTCAAATTATAGGCCGATATTCATAGTGGAATCTTATTTCAAGACCGTCTTAAGTAATGTCTTAAGATGCGAATACGGTTCTGTGATTGGTTCATGACATCTTAAAACAATACCTAAGATGATCTTAAATATAAGTTTGGACTATGAATACCGACAAAGATTACAATTTTGAAATTCTCATTTATGATTAGTTAAATTAGATTGCATTGTCACTAGGATTATTTAATCACTCGCATCGCATCTATATATTTGTGCATTATGGCCGTTCTTTATCCGAAGGAAAAGCAATGATATTACAAATATCTTTCGAACGAAATCAAATTTAGAATGTAAAACATAAAATTGTATACGAAATAATTAATATTTAGAGTATCGTTGCTATTTTATTCAATATTCGATGATGTACAAGGGTACAGGAAAGAGTAGTTTATGGCCGGTATTCATAGTCCGATCTTATATTTAAGATCATCTTAAGTACTGTCATGAACCAATCACAGAGCCGTATTCGCATCTTAAGACATTACTTAAGATCTTAAAATAAGATTCGGCTATGAATACCGGCAGAGAGAAACCTGAGAGCGGCCATGCCATACGTTTTGGTCGACACCGATTTTCACGCTGTTCGATGCGCCATCTGCACCCATTTTTGAGGTGGGAACTACGTTCCCTATCACCCATTTTTAGACGTTGCCGGTAATGTGGCGATTTGTTGCGTATCCATTCTACGTCCATTTTCTAGCGATTCGTGTCCATGCTAAGCGCATAATTACGTGATTGAAAACATGGACTACCCATGTTCTTAACCACGCAATTATGCGCTTAGTACGGACACGAATCGCCAAAAAATGGGCGTAAAACGGATACATAACAAATCGACACTTTACCGGCAGCGTCTGAAAATGGACGTAGAGAATGTAGTTCCACTTAAAAAATGGATGCAGATGGCGCATCGAACAGCGTGAAAATCGGTGTCGACCAAACGTATGGCGTGGCCGCTCTCAGGTTTTTCTCTGATATCGGCCTATGAGTGTAGAAGGATGTAGCAACGCTATCTCCAGGTGCATCTATACCTTCATGGTCAGCGTTCAAAAATGAATTCGTTCCAACCATCGTTACCGGATGCGATGAATGCACGTCAATCGTAAAAACTCTAACAGCACAGATGTCCAGAAGATGTCCAGAATATGTTCTAAGAACGTCCTGGGAATGTTTCTACGTCCTTAGGACATCTCTGAGGATGCAAACCCATGCAGCGGAATAGCGGAACGCGGAACGAGAGTGGAAACAATCACGAGCGAAAACTGTGGAACGCTCATGATTGATTCCGCTCTCGTTCCGCGCTCCGCTATTCCGCTACATGAGTTTTTACCCTGAGACGTCGCCAGGAGATCTTGTGCTGTATGAGAAAGTGGTTTCACCATCCCCGACATTGTTAACAGATAATATTACCTACTTCTACATTTATGATCATACAGTATATTTTTTGTTATGATTTCATGTACGGTTTTTTGTGCACTTGATTATCATAATGGTGTATTGCTGTGCAGTTACAAAGCGCGCGACGCAATGAATTATTAATTAAGTGCTCAAGCCGACCTTCTTCTTTGTAATGATCATTATACAATGGCATTCTAAACATTTCGATTCACCTTTCAATTTTCCTTTCAAATCCATCTTTCAATTCTCGTTTCAAATCGATCTTTCAGTTGTATGATAATGAATACATATAAGTATATCTCATACAGTCCAAAATATACATCTCAGAGATGTATGATATCTCTAGAACGTCTTTAGGATATATTTTGGATATTTGTGCTGTGAGTATGAAATTTATTTATACCTATTCATCTATTCCTTATAGCATAAATGTATTAAGGTTGTATTAATAGTCGTCACTTGAAAGTTCTCGGGGAAAAATAATTATATTTAATTATATAAAATTATATATGATTATATATATAAAATTATATATAATTATATATAAATTATATAAGTATGAATTCTGTACCTATATATACACGTCACGTATACAATCATACGGTCACATGGAAAAAATTATATTAAATAAGAAATAGTTTCATTCAAATAAATATCAAAATTATATATTCAAATAAATATCAAAATTATATTAAATAAGAAATAGTTAATAAAAGTTAATATTAAATAAGAGTTAATATTAAATAAGAAATAATTTATAAATATTAAAATTATATTCAAATAAATATCAAAATTATATTAAATAAGAAATAGTTTCATTCAAATAAATTTTTTAGCTGTGAAACGCAATTATAAATCTAATGTCACACATATTAGTTCAAATAAAAATTCAAACCTAACTCTAAATTCAGATTTGAGTATCTCACGTAAGACAAGTTTCTAATAGCGACTATAATTAATACGAGACATAGAAATGTCTAAAAGATATTTTGTTTGTATTACATGTCATTTAAATGTTTCTAAGCGACGTGTTTTAGACGTCTCTCTAAGATACGTATATATATATATATATATATATATATATATATATATATATATATTTGCATTGTTTGGATAGACTATATATTTATTTATTTATTTATAATATTGGCTGATTTATTCATTTCATCTTCTTTCAGATTTGTGCAAATATTATCGGTTACTTACCGCGTTTACTTCGGATTCCCCACTGTTCGTGTTCCACATATAGAAGTAATCGGGTAGAGTTTGGTAGCGCAGCCAAGTGGGGAACACCCGCTCTCGTCGCGCGACTTTCTTGCTCGCTCGCGATGCACGTCATTTTCAGTAACGGTTCATCCACAAGGATGAAATGACAACGGGTTTGCCTTTTGTTCTCCACCACATCGGAAATGCGTGTTCGTCGTTGACGTAACCGACAGTACTCGCCAAGTCTAGAAAGTCATCAGTAGGAAAAGTGAATTTCGCCTTTCGACAATGTTGCCTCTCGGAATAAGATACGCTCATGTCCCAATCATGAAGCGAGGGTTGCTCACTGGGATTTTCTGCGAATTTAGTCACAGGTAATTCAAGGGGTGGCGGTTCCACTGATTTCTATGCGAATGAGAGCATTTCTCCATTCGCGTGGAAAAGTGAAGTAGAATACGCATCGCGTGAGAAAACGTTTCACATAGAAGACCTCGTTCGACTTTCCGCGATCTGACTCGAATTATGTCTTAGGTTGAAAAACACTTGTTACCGCGATACGATCAACTAATAATTCCAGTTGTCTTCTTTCTGCGCGTTTCATTTCTTTCAATCTATATTCTGTTCTACGAATCAATCTGATTAACATCTTCAAATCTTTCAAATAGAACGAACCTTTCCGACTCAAATTTTATCTGAATAAGGACAAAGATAATGAATTTTTGAATTTTTGAATATTTTTGAATTTTTCTTTAATTTTTATATTCTATTATAATTTAATTTTAATTTTCAACTTGTCTCTTCTTTGTATTTACGGTGCGACAAAATGCAAATCACAATGCAAGAGCGTATCATCCATCTTAAAGGTGTTAATGCACGCTAATTAAAGTATTGCGCAATTAATCAGCTTGAAAATGTATCTAATATATTCGTCACTGTCATTGATCGGAACAATTGCTAGAATCTTTACGCTTTCTCTTTGCAGTACAAGTCATGCTCAATACTTTCGTGCACTCTCACTGTTCCACTTTACAATTTTTCTAATCGTTCTAATAGAATAGATTTGGTTATCAACAAAGTAACAAAATGAGTTAAGTTAAGGTGACTCACAATTGCATCAATAATATATAATCTTTTATGACGTTGAAGTGAAAGGATTGGAAGGTCTAAATTTAAAAATTGAGACAGTAAAATAATTTCGAAACGGTAGAATTATATAATCTACGCGCTATATATAGAATAAATTCGGGAATGAGAGATTAAAGATTCTGTTTGTCAAGTTCATTCAAGTCTCCTTGCAGATACGCGATCGAAAATTAAAACTCAAAAAAGAGTAAGCTGCTCGCTCGCTCACCTACTAATTATCTCTTCTCACACATTTCGCATCTATCACGAGTTAGTATACTAAAAAGAGTATAAATGTTCTCATTTTATAATCACATTGAAATTTATTCATTTCTCCGCAGAAAACCCATTTGAATTATTGTGACACGATACGGTGAAAGTAGAAATCTAAGTATAAGCTAGAGTTATAGCAACAATGTTGTCATATTTAATTTAGAAACTGTCCTACACGTCACGACACGCGGTGTACATGATTAACGCTTGATCCTAAATTCCAAAATTTTTGCGATTAATATTTATCTTTTACTCCGATACACAAGCTTATCTTACAAACACATTATATACAATACACAATATTCATTTAAAGTAAAATAATACAGCAGTGAATAAAACCAACAATATAAAATAATTAAAAATAAAAAATTTTTCGTATTGTGATGAATCAGAAAACTTTTATTACATCTCGCTTTATATCTTAAATTTTATATGAGTACTTGTTCTTCTACCGAATATTCGTTCGTTACTATACGATATATAAAATTCATCTGAGGCAAAATAATGAAATAGCAAGATGAAACCGCGACAATATAAAATAATTAAAAATTAAATATTCCTCGGATCGGAGCGAACTAGAAAAATGTAACATTTCATTTTATACCCAAAATTTCGTTGCATTAAATGCTTGTTTTCCGTCGTTATTGTATTATCGCTTGCAGGACGAAGTTGCAGTTGCGTGCTGCCGGGACGGGAATCGTTCGTCGGCTATTCTGCAATGGCACCGTCGTGTCCGAGTGCCCTCACGCACAGAACATTGCATCTTCGCGCATCAAATCATACGACGAGGTGCCGGGTCCGCGGCCGATACCGCTTCTTGGCAACGCTTGGCGACTGTTGCCGCTGATCGGCCAGTATCAGATCTCGGATACTGCGCGTATCTCGCAGATGTTCTACGACGAATACGGCAAGATCGTGCGGTTAGGCGGATTGATGGGTCGGCCCGACCTACTTTTTGTGTATGACGCCGACGAAATCGAGAAAGTGTATCGGCAAGAAGGACCCACACCTTTTAGACCTTCCATGCCTTGTCTAGTGCATTACAAGAGTATCGTACGCAAGGACTTCTTCGGCGAGTTACCCGGAGTTGTCGGTGTGTAAGTACTCTTCCTGTGATGTTGGCAGATGATCGACTTGAGCAGGCACGGATTTCCCTGGAACTGAAAATGGAGCAAAGAAGTTTTTACATTGATAAATGTCCCAATAAATACCAAATAATAGTAATATCCCGGGAAAAGAAAAGTTCAGATAAAAACCAGATATGGATTTTGTCAAGATTTGATCAGACATAATCAGATATAACGTTATATACGATTCAGATTTGTTCATATATAATCATATATAATTGTATATTATTATACGTGGACAGATCTGAATCATATATTATATTTAATTATATCTGATCAGATCTTGACAAAATCTATATCTGGTTTTTGTCTGAATTTTTTTTTCCCAGAATTACATCAACGTTATCCCAAACAGCAATTTACCAAAAAGTTTTTTAAAGACGTTTAAAAAAACACGTCTTATTTCTTCTAAACGTCTTCTGGGGATGTCTTTAAGACATCCTTTAGTAACTTGTCTAAGATAATTTCTCATTCAGCAATGTAACTGTTATATATAACGCATGTTATATTGCATTTACATTATTGATTGGAAAATTATAACATATAATATTACCGTTCATTGGTGTTTACTAGTTAATAGAAACAAATCCCTGTTATTACATCGTTTACCATAAGGAGAATAAAAATGATTATTTACTCCTTCAATCGGTTTTATAAATTAAGATACGCGAAAATGACGAAAGTAGTGAAGGAAAAAGGTAAAACAGAGTGAGAAGAAAGAATAACGAAGGCAAACAGCAAATTTGTTGAAAGTTGCGAGTATCGCTGCTGCATTACAAAAATATCTTTTACATTTAGCTTTGAAAAGATCTCGGCATTAATTTTGCAATAAAGGTGTCTGAAAGAAAAATGATTAGCTAATCCTAACTTAAACTATTCTTAGGTTTTAATAATGTACAGTAATCACCGACACATTCTTTGATTCTTTATTTGTTTGCTGACCTGTATAATACGCAATCGTTTCTTTCACGCTAGGCACGGCGAACCTTGGAAGGAGTTTCGTACGCGCGTTCAGAAGCCCGTCCTTCAGCCGCAAACTGTAAGGAAATACATAACGCCTATTGAAGTGGTCACAGGGGATTTCATCACGAGGTAAGCCAGTGCGACACGACAAAACTCGCATAGGATATTCCGCAATCATCATACGATTAGCGTGTTCTAAAAGATAATTGAAGAGAAAGTTCTAATATGGGAAAGTCAAGAGATGTAAGAGTCTTCAGGTCATAAACTGACCTTTGTTACGTCGTGCAAAGTGCACGCTACGGATATACGCGTCTAAAAAATGTAATGCAAAATCCGAAAGATAGCGAGAGAGAACTTTCACCCGGATAAATGTCAACAGAAACATATCTTCGTTATTACGTTAGCCTCTGTAAAGAGAATTGATCGGGTACGGGAAAATCAACGCACGATAAAGCGAGGAATTCGGATAGGCTAACAGAAGAAAGATTCGTAATAACAAATTCACTGTTGCCGATCAAATATTCTCAAGTACGTGTCTGTCATCCAGTAAACGTCAGTTAACAGAAATATTATACTAATATGATAATTTCCCTCAAACTGTATTGTATTATAATTATAACTATATTATATATAATTTCACTCAATTATGGAAAAGATTAAGATATATCACATGCTGTACGTATAACAGTCACATATGTTTAGTGAGAAAATATAATATTAATGTAATGTTATTATTTGCTGGGTGTATTAAACGCGTCAATAGAAGCGAAACTAGATCGTCTATTGTTTACTGTTATCACTGTTATAATTAGCTCGCCTATTCCATTGTGACAACACTTGTGTGTGTGCAAAATTCGCCGCGTATGTATAATAGAAACAAGATAGAAATCTATGACAAGGGAAAATTGGAGAACTTCTTCGGTTCCAATGATTATATCCAAGTAAAACAGAAAAATAATAATATTAATAATAATAATAAGAAAATGTCAAAATAATGAAAAAATGAGTGTATTTATTTCTTGATTATTTTATGCAACTTTTTTGTAATTTTTCTTGACATTTTGATTTTCTGTTCTATCTGTGTAAAACTTAAAATAAAAATTATTCACGAATATAAGATTAAAAATTGTTATTTGTTTCTTCAGTAAATTTTAGAATTCGAAATATAATAAATTACCACGTGATAATCGATAATAAAGCGTTTCTACATAATATCAATAAACAATTCAAATCGTTTATGGCTCGATTGTAAAACTATTACGATATTGACGTGATTATTAGCGTTTTCTTGATTTATTAGTATTAGTACTTATGATGTATTAGTACTTTCGCAACTGCAATTAACCTTCGGAATATGTTGTTCAAATATTTGACGATGGTTGTTTGAGAAAGACACCCAGTACCGACGATGGTATGCGACGTGAGAAATTTTCACTGATTTGCTAATGTGTTGCAGAATTGAAGAAATCAAAGCGGATGACGGTGAATTGCCGGCCGATTTCGACAACGAGATACATAAGTGGGCTCTCGAATGTTAGTACTTATTTCATGTGAAATAACACGTAATTATTTAAATGCGCAACACATGCGTATACATAAAAATGTCTCAGAGGAGTTCTTTGTGACAACAGAAATATTTAAAATTATTTATTATTAATGTGTTATACGTTTCACTTATCCAGGTATAGGCCGGGTCGCATTGGATGTCCGGCTCGGCTGTTTAGGAGGTACCTTGCCGCCGGATTCCGAGCCACAAAAGATAATTGACGCTGCTAAGTTCGCGCTGAGGAATGTAGCCGCGCTCGAGCTCAAAGCTCCTTACTGGAGATACATCCCGACGCCCCTATGGAGCCGTTATGTGCGCAACATGAATTATTTCGTCGAGTAGGTTTATCAAAAAGGGGCGAATGAGTTAAGCGTGATTTATCACGCAGAAAAGGATAAATTAAGTGAAAAAGTATCAACACGTGCTTTAATAGGGATTAATTTTCAAGGTATATTTGAAGCATACGATTGAATTTATATATGCTGAACTTTCTCTTTTTTTTTTGTTGAATTCTCGCGAGACGCGATCGGGAAGTAAAGCAAGTGAATATCTTAGAGTTTAAACATGTGAAAGTGAATTCTTTTGCTTTGCCATATTCGGCATTTGGGTTACTAAACGCGTAGCTGTCTCGAGATTAGAAAATGAAGAGAAATCAATAGAATGCTTCAAAGTCCAAGTTTTTATTTCGCAAATTAGACTTAAAATTTCATAAAAATAACTCACTCTTTCTCAATTTGTCTCGTATACATTATTTTCCAGATTTCATTGTCGAAACACAATATAACAATAATAAATCCTAATTTCTAGATTCAAATATCTAATTTTAGGATATGCATGAAGTATATCGACGCCGCGATATTCAGACTTAAGAAGAAGAAAGCTGTTGACGAGAGCGACTTATCGTTGGTGGAGAGAATCTTAGCCAAAGAAGCGGATCCCAAAATAGCTTACATTTTCGCTCTCGACCTGATATTAGTCGGCATTGATACGGCAAGTTAAACAATGTTTTATAAATTATATCTTCCAAAGTCTAATTACACAGCTATGTTCATGATAATCAGTTAAAGAGTTAACTGTTAAAGATTAATCTTAGCTATCGCGTAGAATTTTCACGTTAAGGCACACTTGTAATCCGTTATCGATTTGCATAAATCAGCTAATATTAATTGGCACTGTTCTGTTAATTGCATTTTTAACTTTTAGTTGCGAGTGCATAATGACCGCAAATTAGTGAAAGTACGAGTGTGCCACGAGCCTCGCGAGTGAACGCTTTCAGTTGGATGATCGTGAAATGTGTAAATGTATGTGCGCATGCCGTGAAAATATTTGAACAGTACTACAATTATAAAGTTGAGTTGGCACGATGCGTGCACTTATGGTTGTAGCTGTGAAAATCATCGTAGTCAAACAAATCGAAGCGCATGCGATGTGCATCGAACCATACGCGATTCTTCTCATCCTCCTAACTAAAGTGACGTATCGCGTTTCCTAGGAAGTGAAACGTATTATAACGTAACGTACGATGTATTGCAGATATCGATGGCGGTGTGTTCGATATTGTATCAATTAGCCATCAGACCGGAAGAACAGGAGAAGATATACCAGGAGCTGCTGCAAATATTACCGGATCCTTCCGTTCCCCTTACAACGAAGCATTTAGAACAAGCCATCTACATGAAGGCTTTCATCCGTGAAGTATTTAGGTAATACTATTAAGTACTAATACTAAATACTAATAAGTATTTAGGTAGTATCGATAGACCACAAACGTACGTCTTGTGTTGGAAAAGTAATAAATGTATCCTTATACATGCATTCGTGTAGAGTAATAGCAATGCATCACTTAATAAATTTTGATATTTATAACATTTTATTAGAGAACTTTTTATAAATTTTAATAAATTGATGAATTTTAATATACACATATAAATACAATAATAAAAATATATTATACTCTATATTTACAGAGTTTATTCCACTCTTATTGGAAACGGCAGGACATTACAGAGTGACACCGTCATTTGTGGCTATAAAATTCCAAAAGGAGTACGTTGTTGTTTTAGCATGATCCTTCACCATTCACTCTACATACTCATTTATATAATAAAGACCTTATCATGCTCCGCACGTAATCTTCGGCGGACGAGACTACTTACATCGAAATGAGATGTTGCCTTTAACAAATGCCTTAACGTTTTCATTTCATACCGTTTGTAGCTAAAATTTCTCGGTAAACGTTTAATTCTCGCATTTTATTTACAGATTTAACAAACTTAATTTCTAAATATGTATTTGACAACAGTACGCAACTTGATAGCAATACAATAATAACGATGTATGATGACTCGACTCAAAGTAATTCATTTTCATACGCATCTGTTGAGTGACTGATAATAATGTGCATAATTTTAGGTTCAAGTCGTGTTTCCTACGCTCGTCACCGGTAACATGGAAGAATACGTAGCAGACGCGAAGACGTTCAAGCCTACGAGGTGGCTTAAAGAAGCCAGTGACGAGAGGTTGCATCCGTTTGCATCCTTGCCGTACGGTTACGGGGCGCGAATGTGCTTGGGCAGGCGATTCGCGGATCTCGAAATGCAAGTACTACTCACAAAGGTGCGTTTTACTTTGAGATCTACTTTAGAAACTTATGGAATTATATGAAAAAAGGCCAAAAGTGTATAAATAGGTAATAGGTAAGGTGAACAGTGGATATCGCAATTGTTATAAGGATACTGATGTTATCGTTGCAGCTCCTGAGATTGTATAAGCTAGAATACCACCACAAGCCGCTGAAGTATAAGGTCACGTTCATGTACGCGCCTGACGGAGAGCTCAAATTTAAATTAATAAAAAGATAACCCTTGAATGAATCATAGGGAATACAATAGAGTTAAGTGGATCTTAGCGGTTCACTGGAATTAAGATATATCGGGAAAGGTAGCAGGTGAATATTTTGCCAATGAGTAATTAAAGTCACGCACGATAGTTATTTCTTTCTCTTTTCAAATTAATCTATATTTATCTTCCACTTCCTTTGTTTTTTACAACGGACATACTTTGCACGCATTGGGCTATAATTAAGGTATATATTTTTATATTTCTTATTATTATATATAAAAATTGACTGTCAAACGTAAAATATATCGCATTTATATATATCAAGTATTATTATTATTATTGTAAGTATTAATATAAGTATTAATAACAAAAGTATTGATATATAATATTAATATTAATATTAATATTATTATTAAGCCGAACAGGTTGAATTGTTCTAGAATATTAGAATTTTTATTCTAAGAAGATTGAGACGAACTTGCTCTCTCCGGCCACACTTTAATGATAGATAGATGAGACGAATCTTTTTTCTTCAATGGAGTAACTAAATAGCAAGTGGAATAAGCTTTGCTTTTTATTTATTAATAAATAGTAAAAGTCTTAATTTGAAATGAAATGAATTGAAAACTCTATCGAGACAGGAATGAATCGAATTCGGAAATATCGAAAAGATAGTCGATAATCTACGAGAAGAACAAAGTCGAACATTGATACATCGCTGTGCGTCACCAGCGAGTTAACCTCAAAACGAGCCGCCGTTACGACTAGATGTATTCGAACAAGTTCGGACCTTGAGATTTTGAACGTGCCTTGGAATCTTCCTTGGCTTTATTTTTGCTTAAGATTCTTTCAAACAGCCTTATTGATTCTATATTAATCTTTATTCTCATATTGACTTGGAGTGGTGTTAGGGGAATATGTCTCTTTTGAGAATCCCTGTAACCAGATACTGAAGGAACCTCAAAACGGAATATGTAAACAAACAACGAAGAAGCTTCCCGCGAGATCGAAGGTAGATGTGAAGCAAGGGACAAAAGGTTTGAGACAATTATAAGAAAATTTTGATAGTTTAGAAGCATAGATAAGATTGCACAATGAATCAGATAAAGCAGGAAAGCCTGTCGAATATGCCACCTATTGCCACTCAGCTGGATTCTTCAGCAGCTATAAAATTAAGCATAGGCGCAAAGATGACTCTTGAAAGGTCACTGATGGCTCGTACCGATATATGGCATCAGATAAAAATCATGAGAGGCAGACATTACGACAAGGAGACCGTCTTGAAGGCTATTCTGAAGGCAGTGGAGCCGGCAGATTTGATACCGATAAGTTACCAGGTTTGCGGTGAGGACACATACTTCATAGCGAGAAACTGTGGTCCTGCCCTTGACAAGCTGTGCAAAACAAGCCTGATCATCAAGAATGCCAGCGGTGATGCTCTGATTCTTGTGATCATCCTGGGCTTTGCTTCCATAAACAACTTGCAGGTAAACTTACAACCACTTCTATTGACTGCTCTTACCAAGAGGTACGATCCAAATGAGAGGGCACTGAATCTGGAGAACTTCCATACAGATCCAGATGTAGCCAAAACAGTATACTGTCCCTTATCTCAACTGAGAACTTCCAATCACGTTCTGAAGCTTGCCAAGACAACCATAACTACTTTGGAATACCTGAATCTACAGCATAATGAGCTATTCAACATATCAGCTATAGAGAATTCGAATTTAACAGGTATCAAGTATTTGGATCTGAGGCACAACAATCTGCTGAACATGTGTGCGTTGGCCCCTCTGAAGAATCTGCCCATCACCAAACTTTGGCTGGATGGCAATCCCCTCTGCGAAAATTACTGGACAGAGAAGCAATACGTAGAGTCTGCCAAAAAGTATTGCCCACACTTACAGGAGCTTGACGGGGTGTGCGTCGCGCCGAAGATGCCTTTCATGTACAAGGACTATTTTGGGAACGATAAGACGCAGCGGCTCGTGCAGAAATTCGCAATGCACTTCTTCAATCTGTATGATCAACCCGAGAGGTCGGTCCTGAGGGGCCTCTACCACAAAAATGCAATTTACTCCATGAGTTTCGCCATTCCCAACACCGTCGCCGCCAAGAAGAACCTCCAGCAGTACATGACATACAGTAGAAATCTAATGAGGAGGACCCAGAAGAAGATTACTACCTGCTATCAAGATCAGGATGAGATCCTGACGGGACACAGCAAATTGCCCAAGAGCTATCACGACAGGAACTCTTTCAAGTACGACGTCATGTACGATGATGGGAAATGTCTGGTGATATGCGTCTCGGGCATATTCAAGAAGCTGAGTTCAGGCATCAACGTGCTCTCGTTCAGCCGCACCTTTGTGTTGTTGGCCAGCGAAGACAACGAATATCACATCATGAACGATCAGTACCATATTGATGTGGCGCCCGAGAAGATTACGCCTGACAAAATAACGCCCAGGATTGCATACGACGAGATCACGCCGATCTGCTTCAGCCCGAGCGAGAAGAACGTACTGATAGTCCGAATGGGGCAGATCACCACGCTGAACCAGGAGTGGTGCGAGACTTACTTGTCGGAGGCCAAATGGGACATGAGATTGGCATTGACCAGCTTCATGAAAGACTATAAATCCTTGTCGGTACCGGAGCACGCGTTCTACAAATAGGACGTGTACAATTATTGCAGAATGTTGATCTGTTCATCAATTACAAAGGTTTACACCAATTTTTACTATAAAATTATGTGTCATGCATTCGGTTTACGCTAACCGAGGTTTCTTTTTTCGTATAAATTCGTCTCGCGCTAGCGATTTCCGTTCAGATACTTTGCGACTTCAACACGAATGCCGCAATGATCACCAATCACCGATGCTATTATATTAACGCGTCCCATTAAGTTGCATATAAACTGTAATCAAATGCTTAAGAAATTCCACAGTCAATAAAGAACCGATGAAGCGAGGCGAAAGCACATAGTACGAACTATCTGCCGTGTCCTCGATGATTCAATCGTCACTTATCTCTCGTGCAAGCAACGAACATCAACGCGACAGTCAATGTGATCATGAAATTCGGAAATGAGGTGAGTGTCAGACGAAAGAAAATTTCAGGGACATTTTTCTCAGCATAGAAACAGAAAGATTCCTGTAGGAAGTGCCTACACGGAAAAAAACAATTTCATTAACTGAATTTTCCGTAATTGAATTTTCCATAACTGAATATTAAGGATAGAGATCAAAAGAAAAACTCGAAACAAGGATTCCTGCAGGAGGCTTCTGTTGTCGCAACTAGTATCTTATACAGCTGAATGTTCAGCTATATTTTTCCGATTGCGGTATCATTTCACTTTGAATTTTCATCTGATCCCCATTCAATTAACTGAATATTTCTTTCCTTCGCGACGCGAATCGCTTAAACTGGCGCACGGAGAAAACTACTATGGTTGTTACATTCATATATTGTATGGTTAGAAACAAAATGTATGTGATTGCAAAGTAAAGAGATATAGCATTAAAAGTTGCTGTTATTACATGTCCATCTGTATAGTTCTCACAGCCATAGTTCCTATGATATGTAAGGTTCAGTTAGTACATCCTCATATACATACACTGAGAGAAAAATAGAGTTGCTTTTGGCAAACTATATTTTTTTATGATTTTAACCAGAAAAATAATTAGAAGAACCATCTTTCTAATAACACTTACTAAAACAATGATTTTTCTAACTATTTTTATAGTTAAAATCACAAAAGGGTATAGTTGACGCCGAAAGCAACTATATTTTTCTCTTAGTGTAGTTATCACAGCTAAAGGAATATTGCTGTCTCTCTGTTGTGATCTGCAGAACAAATATTATAGTTGAGGGATCCATAGAGTTTGGTTGCACTTTACAACACCAAGAGTATTGCCCAAACTTATATGGATAGGCAGTAAAGAAAGCTAGTGTGTTACTTCCAGAGTAATATAGTTATTACAATCATCTTGTATATATAAATAAAAAATGACCCTAACATTTTGTTATGACAACTATATATAGGCAAGTAATATTCTTCGTGTTTTCTTCGTGCGGTAATCGCGATGCTGTTAATTGCGCATTTCCCATAACGCGATACTCGCGTCGCGAGACGCGATAGCGTCGTACGTCAATGAGCGAATATAAGGCGGCATTACTCGCATGGCATTTAAGTGGTCGCCGGGATGGGGAACGACGCTCGGTGACTTCATCCAAAGGTTATGCACTCAAGGACCATAATTGCCATCGCGCGTACGATGTGAATGAAATGAATTCGCGAAGGCAGGCGGCTTTTTTTATTCTTGCCCTTTCCAGGCGTACATACGCGTCGCGGCGCGTACGCGCGAGAACGATGGTAGAAGACCTTCGGGACTTCGTGTACGCTCGATTAAGCAAATCACGATGTTCGAACGCGGATCTGTCACAACTCCTTGACCCTTCGCAGTCCATAATTATCCTCGCCGTTTTGCTTTTTGCCGGTCGATTGCGAAAAAGTTCGCTCATCTTTCTCGAGCTCATCTTTCTCGAGCTCGCGTTCAAAAATTTTACCGCCAATTATAGCCATTTTGGGGCGCCAATTATATCTCTTCTCCCTCTAACAACTTGCTATATAAATAGCAACACGTACATAGGATTATTATTAATAATATTATAGTAATGCACTGAGAAAGAAATAGTTGAAAATTGTGGGATAAAAGTTTGTTTCAAAAAGAAATAAACTTTATATCCCACAAATAAATTTCCAAGTATTTTTTTTCTCTCTGTACCTACTATAAAAATGAGCTTGTTGACTATAATTATTTCACTATGCAATTATAGTCGCAACTATTAAATACTTTTTTACAAATGTATTATTAATGTGTATGTAAACCGAGAAAAAAATGCTTGAAAATTTCCTAGTGGGATATAAAGTTTATTTCTGTGAAATAAACTTTATAATAATTTACACTTGATAGTATTCAACGAAATAAACTTTATATTCTACGAAAAATTTTTCAAGTATTTTCTTCTCAGTGAAAATAATCGTTTTCAAGATCGATTAGAATGAAATGTGCGATGTCAAGATAAATTCGCAGACCCCGAAGGATCGCTAATTTACCCGTGATGATCTGGACTACATTGTAACGATGATAATATTCGAAACATAAGTCAAAATTCGATCGCGATTTTTAACGACACACAATTCAGAGCAAGCTATATCTTAAACGCAACACCCGTGAGTGCTCGCGAATTGCATCTTCGTCACAGGGAAAAATGCAATAATAAAGCGGCTAAGTAAACAATCATGACATAGTTCACGATGCGTCCGATCGTATCTGCTCCGGCTCTTCCCATTACGCAACACTCGTCACACTTCCGGATCGTCAAGGCCCAAGAACATCCATTCGCGTGCGAATGAAAGGAAAGAAAATGCTTATAAGGGGATACTGGAGTCGGAATCTTTACCGGCAGAACACTGACTTTTTCCTGCAAAATTTACATTCACTGAGAGAAATTGTCTGATACAAAATTTACGAATGAATATTTCCGATTAAAATACTGCTGAACTTTTATATCGTTTAACATCTACATCGATGACAATAAATAGCTTTCTACGAGCCGGAATTTAACTCTAGAACTTTAAAGACCGAAAAGTTATGTAAATCTTAAGCATGAGTAAATTTTACCCAGCATACTTTCATTCGCTCATAATTTCCGGAGAAATGATCGAAATTCAATCTTTTTGTATAGAAAACATCGAGGAATATGGATCTGTTAATGTTTTTGCGAAAAAAGTTACAGTGAAAGACAAAACACATTGTTTTCGCGAACAATAACGTTTGAAAAGTTGGATAAATTTTACCTGTAGTTAGGGCTCTAGAGGGTTAATGCCAAAACCTCTGCACTAGTCCAATATTTTTAAGAGAAAACTATCCTCTTTTAAATAACGACGAACTCAGGCGAAGGATCAACGAGCTCGGAAAGGGCTCACCGGCGAGAGAAGATTGAGCAACGTTGGACTAAGGCGGTTACTAACAATTACGGGAGCCGAGGATACATACGTATAGGTAGCGACATAATAAAATGATTGTTGCCTACTGTGAGAGAGACTCTCGGCGGCCTCTCACGCGTCGGAACACGAGAGCTCGCCGCCTTCGTAAAAATAGGAAACCGCGCGCTTCTTCCAGAACCAATTATCCCTTGCACCAATTACGAACTTCCTTCGATAGTCCGACGCTTCCTGCATCTCGGGACCCGAGGATATCGACACGAGGCGCCATCCGGCGCGATTTTCAGTCGCATTTGCGATAAACGGCGACTTGGATAGTCGCATCATTTGCCATCTGAACAGAAACCGGAGGCCGCATTTTTCATCTACTTCAGTACCTCGATTTTTCAATGTGTGACATTTCGCGTTTTCTTCGATACTTCCCGTATAGCACAAATATTCAAGAGATATCCTAAGAACAATCAAAGAATGTTCGAATATTCTTAGAACATTCTTAGGATATCGAACATTTGTGCTGTATGGATTGTTTGACTCTGAGGTGTAAAGTATGCTGAGAGAACAATACGACTGGAGCAATCATCAATTATCGTCGATTTTGGTTCCAAACGTATTTTTACAATTGTTCTATGCATGCAAATTATTCTCATTCTTTGCATTTGTTTTGATACTTGTTTTAAATTCGCTTTTAATTTAAGGTGCACTAACAAGTAAATCTACCCAAAGAATACACTCCGATTTCTTTCTAATTTGGCACAAATGTAGAAGTACACAAAATATTTAGGTCATATTTTTTCATTTTGGTCCACTTTGAGTTTCACATATAATTTATAGCTTTTTAATGTTCTCACTCCTATCATAAACAAGTACGTCAAAAATGCATAAAAAATAAAATTGAATACAAGAGATAGTTAAACAATTTTAACAAAATTGGCATAACTTAGTGAGACACGAAACATTTTAAATTTCTTTAATCGAGATTCCAACCGAAATATTTCAAATCTGTGTTAAATTAATCAAAAATGGTTCGAATCTCGGTCAAATCGAGAAATCCGGCAATTTTAATTAAAATTTAAACAAAATCGACATAGCTGAGACATAAACCATTCTAAATTTTTTTAGCCGAGATTCCCAGAAATATTTCAAATCTGTGTTAAATTAGTCAAAAATGGTTCAAATCTCGGCTAAATCGAGAAATTATTTGTATAAATAATTTTTTTGAACCTTTTACATGTTTTGTTGAAACATTTCATTATTTATATAAATAATTTTACACATTTGATTTTATATTCATAATCAGCAAACTAAAAACGCCTATATTTTGTGTTCAATTTTATTTCTTACGTATTGTTATTGCATTTGTTGATGATAGGAGTGAGAACATTAAAAAGCTATAAACTGCTCGTGAAACTCAAAGTGGGCCAAAATGAAAAAATATTATCTAAATATTTTTTGTACTTTTACATTTGTGCCAAATTCAGAAAGAAATCGGAGTGTAACTTTTGAGTAGGTTTATTTGTGACTACATTGAGTGACACACTGAGAACACTGAGTACGTACAGTACACTGAGAGAAAAATATGATTAGAGTAACCAGTTTTATTACAAATTACAATTGATCTTTGTCCAATATTTTTACAATTGTCTTAAGCATGCAAATTATAACAGAGTTCTAAAGAAGCTCGATTTCCATATGAATAAAAATTATAAAAATTAGAATAATTTTGTACGATCTCTAAACGTTGGCGCTTTAAGATCGAATATAGAAACAAAATCCGACTCGGGAAATGGAAAACAAAAAATACAGAGACACAGAGAGAGAGAGAGAGAGAGAGAGAGAGAGAGAGAGAGAGAGAGAGAGAGGAAGAGAGGATATAACGATATTTTTCTATTCATCTTTAACACGTCCAATTAAACAGCTCTTTCACGAGGAGCGAATGCGTCGGACGTGTCAAAATGTGGGTCAGGGTACCCGTCAGCAAAAGAGTAACAATGATGATGAAGAAGATGGCCCATTGAGACATCCCCGCGCTGGGACGCTCATAAGAGGCGTATGTACATCGGCGCGATGTAACGTATCCAAAGATGACCGTAGCCGATAACCCGTTAGAGAAAGTCATCGCGGAGGTACTATGCAAATTTCGTCGCCATTGCCCCCCTTCCCTCCCCCGCCGCCTTCCGAGGAGGACATCAGGCGAAAATGGAGAGGCAACGAGAGCCACGCTCGCGATACTCTCGCGATCCTCTCGCGCGATTGCTATGCGACTCTAATTGAGAGCGACGACGGCGGATGAATCCTACATAAAAAAAAGGGGGTTTTAATGGGAAAACCGAATTGGAGCGCGAACACGTGATACGGATTCATTACGAAGAGCGAGAAACGCGCACGGTTAAGTAACACGGTACTCAAGTGACGCTACTCGCTCCTCGATGCTAATGAGTAGAGAAAAGCATGTAAACGCGCTGTCATGCACAGCGATCCAGTGGAGGAAATCAAAGGCACTACTTCTCGATCGTGT